CTTGCTCTCAACAAAATCATCATACTTGTTATCGTATTCCCCTCATAAACTTATATCGGTTTCACCGAACTGCACTCCAGAGAACAAGATCGATCATATTTGCATCAATGATAAATTCAGACAATCTGTGGAAGATCCGAGGACAAGGAGAGAAGCTGATCTAGGTTCAAGCTACCGCCTGTTGGTGGCTAAGATGAGGATAAAGTTAAAGAAACATTAGACACCATCAAAGTCAGAATTTTCAGTACAAACTGAAACCTGTAGAATTAATACAACCATTATCAAAAAGGTATAGGTATTTATAAACAAAGCCTACTCAAGATACTTCAAATCCGTTGACCACAAACAATCAGCAAAAACTTCTGTCAGAAAAGAAATCGGCTTCCAGTTGTGAAAGAAACTGGGAAAAAACATTGGAGGTAAATAAGACATGCATTTTGGAAATGATCAGACTGCATCACAAAGTATGCCATAACTTGGAATCCTTAAGGCAAAAGGGAAAGAGGCCAGGAAACACATTGCATAGGGAATTGGAGGCAGACATCAAAAGGATAAATAACAAATGGCGATATATGGAAGAGTGAACCCAAGACAGAGTAGGTTAGGGCTTAGATGGTGGTTGGAAGTAGTCAATATGAAACCCTGGACCACCCAGTGATTAATCAATTGTGATTAGTTTAGGGTTTCCTTATCAGGGACCTATGTTTCACAAGGAATAACAGGCGTAAGTAAAGAAATAGCTATTAAGAATAAGTGATTTGTGTAACAGAAGTACCTAATAGTAATGCTCATGACATTCATGATGTTGATATGATAACAGGGCCGCAATATATACATATAACGCGAAAACATATTTCCCAATAAACTAAAATAACTGGATTGAAAAACTGCACAATGTTATCGAAAAGAGCGAGTTAATGATGGGAACGAACAATTGATTTAACATACTGTGTTTCAACGTATGTATATTGTTCGCACACTTTTCATAAATGTTTGTGACAACGAATTAATCTAAATTAAATTTGGTTGAAAATATTTTAAGAAAGTCATCTATCCTGTCACATTTTATCGAATCAAATTTAACAAAGCGCTGTTAATCATTATTTTGTCTTTATGAATGACACATCAATCCTCGTTGATTATGGAGATGGGCTGGATCTGTCAACTAAACTGAATTTGAAATACTGTCTGAGAAAAATTGGTTTTGCTGTTTTTAACAAACCCATAACAAGTTGATGGAACTTTTATAGAATCTAATTTAATTACTAGCGAGAAATCTCAACACTTGACTACGGTAGCCATCCAGAAGTATAAAACAGGCTTCATAGAAAGCCTTATTTATCGAATGAATGATACTAATAGATAGTGAATATGATATGATGGGAAGTGTAGTGTGGATGCATAACTGTTGAGACTGTTATGAGCATGTTTACTATTTATCTTTCTATTATATAACTGGTAAATAACTGTCTTGTTGCATTTCTATATCCTCCGATTTCTAAACTTTCATTTTATGCATAAATCATCATTCCAGGTTTATCATTAGTTGACTATTTCCATATCAATCTTGTATTGTATCACTTATGTTTAAGCTAAGAGATACATTATGATTCCTTAATTGTGTTACTGTGTAGTTAAACATATACAGTATATTGTTGTATGAGTTTTCAGTCATGATTTAATAGAGCATAATAAAGAGGTGATTTACTCTTTACATTTATTTTTTGGTTGACCACTGGTTTATGAGCTGGAGAACCAATAAGCATTAAAGTTTTAGTTGTTGCTCATTGGTTTATATGTCAGTTGGCAAATAGTTCACCTGTTTTACTGGTAATTTATGTGAACGGTTCGATGATCGAACAAGAGAGAGATCAGGTAACCGCTTTCCTGTTACTAAGACCCGACCACACGGGACCCAATAAAACCCAAGGAACCAATCTGTTTTGTCCCCTACATGACAGTATGCTTTAGTCAGTCAGAATGATATATAAGGCGAACGCGTGGATAGGGGGCCTTAGCTTAGTAAATAACTCAGCTGTTCATCATACACCAGCTAGGCTAACATTCGGTTTACTAAACTACCTTGGAACATCGTATAACTTGGGAATTCATCCTTCACCTGCTTAGTGTATCAAAGGGATCGGAAAGAATTTAAGTTTAGTATAAGCAACGCTTATGAAACTACGCCTTCCTCATTTTCATAATAAATTTGCTATATCACAAGGAGTACTATTAGAAAATACTGTCCAGTCAAATGTCTACTTTAAAAGGAATACGAAAAATTTTGTTATAAGTGAGTCTACAAGTATTATAAACCTGAAAGACGTCGTTTTGAACAATAAACATTACATTAAAATAAAATATGTAAACGACAGGCTGAATACTTTCAGACAGTTTCTTAAAATTAATTATAATCAGTACTGCTACAAGTCATAGAAAATAAAGTTCTTTCATAAATAGAAGAAACAATATAGCAGAAACTGGTCTAAAAATGAGGAAAACAAAAAACCATATTATCAAAAGCTGGAAAGCAATTCATGTTTTGCATTCTGCATGATTAGAATCACAACTGTAATCGTTACTGAATAAAGAAAAACTCAGAAAAATAAATAAGCAAACAAGCTGTAATTATTTAAAAACATAACTTCTATAAGTTTCATAAAAACTGAAATGAGTAAAGTCATTATTTCAAGTAAGGAAGAGCTACAAAATACAGGCCATGTACCACAGTTAGCGGGTATAACCCTAAATTACTGACCATTTCTTCTATGTTGATAAGGTACACTTACCATTCATTCGCGAACATCCTTAAGGAAACTCTTTAATTTAACAGAAACTTAACATTCAGTCAGTCAGCTACAACGTAGGGCCAGGCACATATATGCATCGGTCCAAGTTGCCATACCTTATTAGCATAGCAAGACGAACACCGAATTCATAGAAGTAGTTAATTCAGAAACTTAACATATATGTGTCTTTTTACCCTGGTACAGATACATTTTACTGGACACCAGATTCCCAACGAGTTGTACAAGGTCATTTGAGATATTTCACTTAACGTATGCAACAAACAACTGTGGAAAAGAACAAACCAGATCTCAACGGAGGAAGAAATTAGGAAGAAGCGCTGGAAGTGGATAGGACACACATTGAGGAAAGCACCCAACTGCGTCACAAGACAAGCCCTCACATGGGATCCTCAAGGCCAAAGGAAAAGAGGAGGACCAAAGAACACATTACCTCGAGAAATGGAGATAGATATGAGAAAAATGAACAAGAATTGGATGGAATTAGAAAAGAAGGCCCACGAGAGAGTGGGTTGGAGAATGCTGGTCGGCGGCCTATGCTCCATTAGGAGTAACAGGCGTAAGTAAGTAATGTAAAAAGCAAGTAAATGAAGAGCCTATATGCATAACAGGCACCACTGTCAGTGCGTAAAAAAAGCATCCAGCTAAAACTGAGTGGGAAACCTTTCAGCCATTGCGTTTTAAAAAAGTTATGCAGAAAGCTTAATGAATGGTATGTTGTTAAGATTATCCCAATCTCAGCATACAATCGTAAAACTGAAAGCATAGTTGTCAGTATGAATAAAAGTGCTTCTTTCAGTTATTATTTATACGAAGTTACTACACAAATAGATTATAAATAGCATCTGACGATGATATATTTTGTTAAACTGCACCTGATAGTTTTTGAAGATATTTGCATATAGAATGTGTGACTTAGTTGAATATCACTTAGCTGATTGCCCTTAACTATTCAAAATTAGATACAGCCAATCGTGTATTCGAATTACTTATCTTAGTAATTATATTCTAAACCCATTTGACAGAATCCAATCAATTGTAGCACTTCATGCATAGTGGTACATTGATCAGATAGGACTGTAAAAGCAAGTGATTATTTCGTATTCATTATCGAACCAAAGTCACTGTTAAGCAAACTGTCATTAAAAGCTTTAAATCAGACGTCGAAATATAAAGATTTGTGAGACACGTTTTCCCGAGTACACTTTAGAAATTAACAAAAATAAACAACAGTTTGGTGTCCCAAGGTAAAAGGACTGTCTGCAATGTTCTCAACCAACACACTCGAAGACAAGGAAAATATAAATTGCACAATCCCTAAGAGCTCAAATAAACGTCCAAGGTTACACGAATTAACGCTATTGATTAATATGTCAATAGGACCAACCTTGTACATAAGTATGGAATTATGAAAAGATATTTAATTGTATTATAAAACACCATCAGTGTACTATTACTTTACCCCTTAAAACTAAGTGTAGAATTGAATATCACCGTTAAACTAAGCGCAAAATCAATGGAAAGATGGTGATTGTGGCTGAAAGAAAACCTAGACCAATATCGTTTCTTTACAAGCTGTCGCCCTAAATCCAAACGACTGAGGGATAGGAACAGACTTCAAGACAAATATAAGCTACGTATAATTCCCTTTCATCAGAAGATAAATACATAAGGTATGTTTGTATAGTTAAACTTCGCATATAACCCTCGTGCCAGGAAATCGCCCTTCATACAAAGCGACAAGGATATCTTATTGTAGGAGCAGAACATATGATCTTATTCTCTGGCTGAATATAGGCCTTCATCCTGAATGGGGCTCTGATTTAGTATATAAACTTGCAAGTGTCCCACTATCTAACTAATCCTATAAAAGGACTAGTGATTTTGAAAGTTACTGTAATTTAATTTCTGCTCTTTTTGTTAACATCATATCTACTATCATGTGTTTATTATCATGTACTAACTTTCGTTTCTAATCTGTTATCAAAGTAATGATAGTAATAATCATTACAGTCACTTATTCCCACTTGATTGTATCGTCCGTAAAACAACCGAATGACAAATCCATCACACGAAAGTCTATCACATGCAAATTACGAATCAATATGAATGTAGTTGTCCAATTGGTCAATCATATTTGGCCAATCTGTAAACTGCCCATCTAGATTTTGTGTAGCAAATCATAAATCTTGTCACCCTTCTTTTTCTGATTGGCTCGAGAAACTGGATTCACGGTTGTTGTGTTCATGACGAGAAAATAACGGAAATCACTTTTCAAAACAGCGTTATTTCGTCAGGCTATACAGAAAGTAGCGGTCGGATTTGTTTGAAGCACTTTATAGTTTGTCAGGATGTGTAAAGTAATCTCGAGTACAATTTTAGTACTGTTCAACATCCCACTTGTGGTATGCTTCCTTTTTTGAACTCTTGATTTACATGTGCTGTTTAATTAATATCTCATTTTATTCTATCAACGTAAAATTACTGATTAACGTTCATAATTAACTATAGTTAGTTGAGTTTTCTAACCATCACAATCTGATGAAAAGTTGATTTAATAGGTCTTAATTGAAACCATTTAATGTTTAAAAGTATAGAGTGGTAACTAACTAGGACTAACTTTTCAACCTGAATTGAAATTACCAGACAAACTGGCTCATCAAATGTTGAGGAGTTTGTTCCTATGCTTTATGAAGTGGATAACAGCTTTCTGTGCTAAGATTATTCCAATATCAGCATACAATCATAAAACGCAAAGCATAGTTGTCAGTATGATCATGATTTTTAAATATTTGCCCCTGTATATCATTAACCTAGTGAAGCAAAATTCTAGTTAAGCCATCTGTTTGGTGCTGATAGTATATTTTAACTCTGTATGACTATTGGTAAATCGAGCAAACTGGATTTCAGCATTGTACAATTCCACTATCAAGAACAGTTCAGTACATCATGAACACTATAATTATAAGTAAAATAATTAGTTAGGCCAAAAATTGCATTCAAGAGAATATTTTCGAGGTAACTATATTTTTCTTGTGATAGATAAACTGGTTTAATACACTACTTGTAATCCAGGAGAACATATTCGTTTTGTTGTATCGTTAAGCATTATTGAATTCGTCCATTTTCATTTGTTCTGTTCGATTTCTTGATTAATCATATGAATTCAGCCCCTTTATTTATTTATCTGATTGGATTTGTTTTAGTGTTAAGTTCAATAAGATTAGCTGATACATATTTGTACCCGGTCCCACATTCATCATTAGATGACTAAAGCTGATAAGTAGAGCTTCCCTTCTATTTTAATTAAAGACTGTAGAAATGTGCAGCAAGCCGATATTTTTTCTTACCAGTAAGTTCGGCTAAAAGCACCTTAAGTTGTCCAATCATGTGAACGAAAGGTTTTTTTTGAAGTTCACTAAGGATGTTACAATGACATTTCCGACTGGATAACAAGAAAAACACCTTTTTACAAATTCAAAACTAACACAAATATCACTACTGATAGTGGACTCCAGTTTTATTACTAAGGCTTCTTGATATCTGATTTGAACTACCAGCAGCTGTAATGTAGCGACATTTGCATTTGGGTTCATTCGAAGCTACGCAACTATACTGTCCGATTATATTTGAATTATTGATTGCCCTGACATTGTAAATCTTAGAATATTTGAGAATTTTCGTTCATCGTAAGTTGTCGTTTTTTCAATGTATAAAAGCCGAAAGATTCGTTAGTACATATGTTTTAAACAAACCTGAATACACACCTGAATGATGTGAGTATTAGAATACTATCGACCATAATCATTTGAAGATCTAGTTTGTTTTCGAGGCATTTTTTTCACACTTATTATACATTTGCAATCTTAAATGGATTATTTTCATTAGGAAACTGATCTGTACCATGTTTTTATGTGGTAAGAAGTTACTCAGTTATGTGAAATGATTAAAAATATGAGAATCTCAAAGCAATTCGATCATTAGTTTCTTGTGGGACATGAATCAGCTAAATGATCAAAATCTATAAGATATTTAGATCCATATCATGTACGATAATATATCAAATCATAAATCTGTTTCCCTGTTTTAGTGACATACTATTAGACAATGGTAACATTTGTTTTGTATAAGTTAAGATATTCTGACTACTAGCTTACACTCCTAATTTATTTTTAGTATGGCAATAGTTGTGTTTCTTTAACCAACTTCTCATACATACAATTTTAATTTAGCAAATATATTAAAAATTAAACTTTAAACAATGTAATATAAAGGCTATTCGGTTCTGTATCATAGTGATTGGTATGAAAGGGTGTCACAATCTGTAGGGATTGTGGCTTTCAGTGTAATTTAAGATGACAAATAAAACTGATAGAGTACTTGGGTATTCTCTGAGTTTAAAGAAATGACTTGCAGACTAACAATTAACTCCCTGAGTAATCGAACTATTAAGGCCTACCAACAATCCTATTTTTACTTCATTAAAGGTGGTGTGAAGAGTGAATTGAATGTTTGTTATTTATTTATCTAGCTTACTATTGAAGGTTAAATTCATCAATAAAAATTTGTTTTTGATTAGTAATTCAAACTATTTCATTTATTTTTGATTGGAGACCTCTTTAAATACAGAGATAGATTAAGTTAAGGAGTTTCCATTATACTGTCATAAGTACATCTTGATTTCAATATAAGCAAAAATAATAATTTTCTAAATATACTACTAACTATAAGTGAAGTGAAACAGAATTAAATAAGAAGTAGCTAGAAACGTTGACTTTGTGTGGTTTAACTAAGTAGGATGACTGAAAAGTCTAAAAAATACTACGAAAACTGCCCGTAAAACACTTATGTCACCGTTGATTTAGTAATTATATTTTGAAGTTCTTATTAATTTGAGTAATAGCGAAAGTAATAATTCTTTAACATTTGAGGTAGGCGAGTTCTTATACCTCAAAATCGTCAAAGGGTAAGTACACTTGACTTTTTTTAAGACTGATGTTCCTGAATAGATCTGTCCAGCTTGTATTCATTGGATGAAATGAACTACACTGTCCACTAGTAATGTGTTTATTTGTAACCACTAATTCACAATGATATATATGATGTACTTGACTTTATTACTGTATGAATTATATAATTATTAATTGATCAGTCAAATATATCGTTGAAATTAAATTGTGAATACAATTTCTTGAGTTCGAGATTCATTTAATCAACAAGTTCCGATATCAGATTGACTCCATCATACTAGTTATAAAATAAATCAGTAACTAAATATCATGAATCGTAAAAGTTTATACTTCCCCATTATTGATATTTATGGATGAGTTAATTGATCTATTGTAGCGTATAAGGTCCTTGTACAATTTTTTCGTTTGTCAAAATCATATCGATATTATTTTATCCACGGCATGTGATTAATATTCACTAAACAAGTGATCTTTCACTACTCACTGGCATGATATATGACCGCCTGACGTTTGAAGCATTTTGTTTTAAATTGGAATCTCACTAGAAAGACATAACTAACGAATACTCAAAAGTGTGACTTATACTCCTGAGATTTAATTGATGTTAGTACTAAGTGTAAGTATCATAAAAACAAGAAGATTTACTTAGGTAACTTCTTCAGATTTCTTCGGTTTATGGATAACTTTTATCTCAAACGTATATTCAGTAAGTAGTGATTAGAAACCGGACGGAACCAGATATATATTTCACGATATTTTGGAAATCTTCATCAGTGCTCATCCACAGTCGAACAAAAAAGATTGTTTTCGAAGTAAAAGCTGTGCATTTATCTAAAAATACTTCGCTCTTATACCAGACATTTGTCTTAATATCTGAAGTCCCTCTATACTCACGGTCACTAATAAAGCTTAGAAGTTGGATTGGCTTCAACTTCTTTTTTAAAGATATCCACCTGAAGAGAAAAACATTTTTTGGGATATTTTAGGAGATGCCCAGTTCAGTTCCTAATGAAATTCCCATACTTAGTTGAAGCGTAACTATTTAAAAAAACAACTGTGGTATTCTTGCCAAAACATGATTCTATTCTTCTGTACATGAGATAAACAGATCACTAAATATTAAAAAAAAACAGAGCAATTTGTTTTCCAATATGTTACTGTCCACTGGTACATTTTGTTTTGTTTTGTTTTTAGCTAACATAAAAACAACAAAACATTCCTATCTGTTAAACATTTACATAGTTTCCCAGTTGTTTTTCTTTTAAAAAAATGATCATGATTACCTGATTTGGAAAGCAAGTTATACAACTACTTATTGTTGTGTATTAAGACAAATAAATATCGAATCTTTTCATTGTAAAACTAAGTTCATCAACGATTGTTTTTACTACGCAGTAAGGTAAAGCGAAAACCTGCTAATTATTTGTTAATTTAAGGTACAAGTTAAACGGTCTGCATGTTAATATAATTCATAAGATGGCTATCGGAATAAGTTTAGAATAATTCAGTTTGTAATGGATTGGATTATCTTGTTGTTAATATTTCTGACTAGCCAGAGCTGATTAACTTTCAGTTAAAAATATTAACAATGAAATAATCCAATCCATTTAAAATTTAATTAATACACATATTTGTTGCATAAGTGAGTGGTTATGTGAACTCAGTGGGAAACGCGATAATGTTTAAAGTGAACGATCCTGGGTTTGAGTCTCGTAGTGAACACTAACTCTAGGATCTAGGCACACTGACCGACGAGTCCTAAGTAAAAGGAAACACGCGTCCCGAATTCTACTGCTAGCCACATTCCATCTACTCTATGCCAAAATTTAAAATAGTTTGTATGTTACAAACGGTAGGCTGTTCTGTAGTAGAAGACTGCGCTCATGTGTTTTATTTATTTAAATAAGAATTGGTGCTTCTCTAAGAATAGTTTTCTTATCATTTTATATGAGCTGAACTAAAATGATTTTTTTTAGTTGAAAATAAACTATTGACTATATGATGATGGTATCTTGTTAATGAATGAACTGGAGATTTTGGTTAGAGCTACACTTCTGCTTAAACTACATCGTACTTGAAAGAGACATTACTCATAGGAAATGTACAGATACATACAGTAAGATATTAAGGTAAAAATCTATTTATAAGTTTCTAATCTTTACTGCAATAGAGTTATTTTTTGTTAATTAGCGTAATAATCAATCTTCCTATTACCAATATTGTAATTTAGTATTCTCTGTTATGTTTTTGAATTCTAAGTTCAATTTTTACTTCAACTGTTGAGACACTTTCTTATGAATTTTTAATAGATTATTGGTTTAGGACTTGTGGTTTTTGGTGCTTTAATACGATGGAATGAAAAACTTTTGGTTGAACGAATTACTCCTACGATTATCGAAGAAATAGATGATGAGAATGCACGTGAAGCTGCTCAAAAATTAGTAGAAGAAAGAATAACTTTATTTGGTAAGTATTTTCTATTCCAGAAGTTTTATTTTAAAACAATGCTGGTCGAAATAGTACTTTAAATAGCAAATCAGTTATATCCTATTTGAAAACTAATTAATAGTATACAATTCAGACCTGCATTGATAGGTGGATGTGTACAATTTCACAGATAGTTAGCTATAGACCCAGTTAGTAATATCCCCAACCTATCTACAGTGCTATCTGATCACATTCAGAGAATACAAAATGATGATTTCTTTATATAAATAAGCGACTTTGGAGCAATTAACTTCTATCACTTCCCAAACTTTCCATGGTATGACTGAAGAAAGGATTTACTACAAATCGATATTGATTTCTAAAACATAAGTTTACTGGTACTGTAATTTCTACATAGAGTTGGATTGTTAAACAGATTGTCGGTGATGAATATGACACTTTTTGGTATGTTATAAAAGATGAAATGTCATACATTTTATTAATGCTTAAATATTTAAACACATTAAAGGTTTCTTTTCCTGTTATTTCCTTAATTATTATAATCAGCTTCTTATGGTTTGGCAATTTTCTTGTTCGGTCTCTTCATTTGCGTATTGTCACTCTGTGGAATATGTGGAGTATGCTGCAAAAGTAAAATCTTACTCGGATTAGTAAGTTATTAGTAGCAAATACTTTCAAATTGTTTTAAAAGTGGAATAATTTTTTTGTTTTAAGTTGTATTTGATTAACTTTATGGCAATGAACCATGGAAGTTATTTAAATTACAAGGTATTATCATGAAGTAAACTAAAACACGACATGAAGGTGAAGATGCTGATTCCGATTAAAATCAATTAAGTGACATAACAGTCATCTTATTGCGTTCGTTTGTTTAATATGACTCAGTTAACATGTTTTTAAACTCAACTCATTAAATCGGCTCAATAATTTTGAAGAAGTAAAGTTAATAGGCACATGTAAGTAAATTCGAGCTCATCATAAACAGGCTGTAATGTACATACAAACTCTTTCATTAGCCACCATCAAAATGTTCTCTACTATGTTAAAAAAATCTGAAATTGATGCATTTCTGAAACTTACTTTTAGGCCAACATTTATGAATCTGAATACAAGTAATCAGAATGGCGGTTTTGTGGAGATTGTAGTAATTTAATAGTTGAATTCATGAGTCGATTAAAGCTAAACCACCATGGGAAACCTGGAAGCACCGTACTGCCTAGAATAATCTAGAATGGGACTACTCAATAGTGCGCATCCACAATCCCGAACGCGGGACTCGAACCCAGGGTCTTCGGTCTCGCGCGCGAACGCGATAATAATGATCATGTGCACACCAGTAACTGGCTTCAAGAGGTATTTCTCGGAGTTCTAGTGAGAAGCCGTGACCAGTGCAGCTCAACCGTGTCTGTTATGAGGCAATTACTCACTGAAGACAATGGTGAACGGTCGTGCAATATGGTGGATTGGTTGAAGTTAGACATTAAGGTGGTTGGATGCCGACTCAGTGGTGTAGGTGTTAAGCGTTGGCATGTGAGACACAAGGTGATGGGTTCGAGTGCCACGTGTGCGATTGCGGATGTTCACTGCTGAGTCCCATATTAGAACGGAACGGTCGCCCAATGCTTCCAGTTTTTCAATCCTGGTCTAGCTTAAATCGATTCATTAATTCAACTATTAACCAATTCAAACGTTTCATAAGAACATTAAATAAACTACTGTTTTATAAAAGATTGTGTTGTAACTGTAATTGTAAGCTTTCTTTTAATTCCTTATATCTCATACAAATCCAATGTAACAGTTGGTTAGGTCCATGTCTATCATTCAGTTCTCTTGATTAACTGTCTTAATTATGCATTTGTAATTGATTCTGTATTACTGTCGGATAATCGTAATGTCCAAACGGCCTTGTCATAAACAGGTGGATTTTCAACAATCAAACTGGTTGGAATTCTCTGTTTTGAATAACATTAGTTGGACGTTTGTAAACAGAAACTCGTGATTTATCAACCGTAATTTCGACCAAAATGAAAGTGTGATAATCACACAACTCGTGGTTAAATAATAAAAATAATACGTTAGCCAGTCGCGCATATCTTCAATTAAGGAATCAGATAAACTAGAGCAACTTTACTTATGCGTAACTTTAGTTTTGATTCAATGTAAGTCTGTTAGCTAAATGACCGTTCAGATCACTTTTCTAACTCATTAGGCGATATTCAGTTACTAATTAAAAAACGTCTAGCTTTCACTTACCCACCTTAGCTGATTTGTTCACCCTCCTCTTTCCTTCTTTAAATTATAGTGTATTATTATTTCTTCCTTGTTATGTCATCTGACCTGTTCTATTTTCTGTTTCCTCCCTTTCATGTAGCACTTACTTTTCCTTCTAACCTTTTAATTCTACCACAAATTGCGAAGAAATGTAACCAAAAAAATCCAGATGTAAAAAGAGCTGAATAAGATACACTGCAAATATTTAAACACTGTAATATCAAACAGATTTGATAAATTTTCCATCAAGATTATCACGTAAATCATAAAGCATGAAGAAAATAGATAACCTTTGTAGATTAGAAATAACAATCATGCATCCATCTGTTTCACTTCTTTTTTCTCCTGGTCCACACTGCTAAACTTTATTCTACTTTCTAGACAGTATCCTGTTTCACTAATGGTTATATATATAGTATAAATAGATCTTAAGTTTTGCTGTGCATCCCATCACAGTTTTTCAAGGTATCGAAAATTTCAACATTGATATTCCTTGAGTGTAGTTTAGTTTCGAAAGTGTTGCGTAAACTAAGACTGATTAGGAATTATCTCCATCAGTAACCCAGGAATATAAATTTATGATCACCTGCTAACTCATGGCGTGTATTTCTTTGTTACTAACTATTTAATTAAATAAAACAAATGTGACTGCATTCATCAATTTAAAAATTACACATGAATTAAGATGCTGTTCACTTCAACCAATGAACTATAATTAAATAAAACTCGTAACTGAATAAAATAGCGTTTCTGTGCCAATAAATTATTTATTCTTAAAATTGTCATTAGTTAAAGTTCATTATAATGTTGACTCTAACAGTTTGGTTAAGAATATAATCACAAGATTTAGACGTCACTCAAAAAGCAGTAATGTAGGTGATTTTTGGCTGATATAAATTTTTTCATTTCACTCATAATTGAGTATCGTTATGGTTTGATTGATTTCACTTAATTATTACAAACTACTGATATTGAATTAGTTTGTACACAATATTCTTTATTTTAATAAACTTGACTTTATTTTTTCAGGGTAGATTAATTTTAAAGATAACTTAGTGATTATTAGAACAGCAACACAGACCTATGAAATGATCACCTCTTATCATTACAACATAGAATTGCAGAATAGCTTAATTCAACTAAGATGAACTGACCTTAACCTATAGAGGTGTTAATTAATCAAAAGTAAACATGTTAATAAACAAGCAAAGTATATTACAATAACAAAATTCAAAGGGCAATTCAACTACATCAACGTAATCAATGACTAACTGATTTCAGTCCGCTTGAACAAACAAATTTAGTAAAAAGTAGCATTACCAAGGTTTGACTTGATAAGTTAAAATAAACTGAACATTGGGTAGATTGTTGGCTAGAAATTAATGATTTATTTGGGATATCCCAATGAGTGAAAATTAGGATTTCTGACTACGAGTTCGATTTTGACCTAAGTAAATATTCCACCTTATTCCTTTGTACTATTTAAACTTATGTTAATCCAAACTAAGTCGTGAAAAGTCAGAAATTTCATTTTTTGATTTTACTCATTGGGTAGTAGCAAATGAATTAATAAATAGTAAAATGAAACTTCCGTCATTAGTATAGCGTTTTGCTTCTATCAGGCCATACTCAGTCGGCCAAGAATCTCCAACCGACCCTATCCTGTTCTCTTATATCCGATTGCTCTATTCATGGTCTTAATACCAACATCCACTCCCCGGTGTTATATGTTTCTTGGCCTACCTCTCTCTTTTGTCTTGAAGATTCCAAATTTGAGTTTATCTCATAGTGCGATTTGATGTTTTTTTCTTTATAAATTATTTCTTATCCAACTCGTGCCTTCTTAATTTTCTCCTCGACCGGCAGCTGGTCTGCCACAGTAGATTATTGCTGATGGTCTCCGACTGATGAATGTAAGCTTTCTTCGGTAGAGAGTTGTTTATGAAAACATGTATTGTTAGTGGTAGTTCTCTAACTTTCAGCACCATATATTTGAACTGTTTTAACGTTATTTTTGAAAGGTCTGATTTGGAATTCAAGGTATTCTTTAATTGCATAAACGTTGCTCTTGCTGTGCCAATTCTTGCCTTTACATCTGCATCAGATCTTATAAATGATACTGTCCAGGTACGTAAAGGCTTCTAGAGCTTCCCCATTAAATGCGATTTGGTTGATGTTCGCTAAGTTGTATTTCAAGATCTTGCTTTTTCCTTTGTGGATGTTGAGACTTACTACTGCAGAAGCTGCTGCTACACTGGGTGTCTTTGCCTGCATTTGTTACTATGTATGAGATAGAAAAGTTAACTCATCTGCGAAGTTCAGGTTGTTCAGCCGTATCCAAGCTGTCAAATGTATTCTGTTTTCTTTGAAATATGGAGGTCTTCAAGATCCAACCATAAGATAAAGGGCGAAAGTATGCAGCTTTGTATGATGCCAGTCTTCGGTTGCAATGCATCCGTGAGCTGCCCTTCATGCATGACTTTACAGTGTAGTCCTCAGGTATTCCATAGTGTCGATAAAGGTTCCATAAGGTTCTCATAATCATGCCGTCAAATACTTTCTCATAGTCAAGGAAGTTGATGTACAGTGACGAGACGTATTCAGCCGTTTGTTCAATAATGATTGGCAGTGTTACGGATGGCTTGGAAAATATTCTATCTTTCCACAGTTTTTGATCTTCAAGTTGAAAGTCTACTGAATCTTTCAATCCGTTCAACGACGCTTGAGTACTTTACTGGTACTGACAATAATATAGTATTTCTATGGTTCTCACGCTTATCTCATCGCTTTATATTTTCTATATCTATTTTCAAGTGGTCTGAAACTTATGCAAACTCTTTACATCTATAATTGTTGTACGATCCATTTTATCTGTTTCCGGACTTCATATAATTACTACGTCAACCTCCTATGTTTCCATAATTCCGTTTCCAAATAACCTCACATCCGTTTATTCACAGAAATAGTTATGATTGCTAACTTTTATCATTCTAATTTCCTCCGTCATTTATGTTGATAATGTTGGGGTGATCCAGAAAACTCGCACAAGACAAGAAAGGCTCAGGAAACACCAAGAAGCATTTTATCCAATCAGCGTTCACTTGAAGTTTAACCAGAAACATCAAGAAAGCGAAAAGTTAAATGTTGAGTTTCTGCTTAGCCGATTACTATATTGCTCTTATGTTTAGTAGCATTCCAGAATTTTCGGGAAACCCAAGGACATCTAAAATATTATAAAAACCTTATATTTTCTGTACTAGAACGAACCTTTGGAGTAAAGTGCATCTCGCATATTTTGCGCCTTTTCTCTCGTGTTCAGGTCACTGTATAATTCTAGCTTCGGGGCTACGAGAATAGATTAGGAACCGAATAAAGCGTTCAATTAGCAAGACTTATCAGATAACTTCTTATCATTGCATTTGTCAATGTCACCTTTTAATAGAAATATGGTTATAAGCAGATAATGAGAAACCACGTAATGTAATGACTTCATATTATTTTACCTAAATTGTCAATCTGGTTTTATTCAAACACTTATGTGTTGCTATTATCTTACATAAAATATATCAAATATACTGGTTATTCGTCTATCTCTCAACAATAACATTAGTATAAATCAATTCACCATTCATATACCTTAAATTTTTCTAAATATATTTATTATTATTCCATACAATATAACCTTTTATTTCTTATTACCGTATTCGTTATTCTTTCTAGTTCTCTAATAATATTGATATCGGTAATGTTATTCCTTCAATCTCCCTTCAATCTCTGTGTTATTCTAATTTATAAATGAGGCAGCATAACTATACTAAGTCTATCATTCCTTTTTAGTATGTTATGCAATGTACACACGTTTGGAAATGTTTAATCGGTAGAGATTAAAACCTGTAGCATACTGTTGTTTTTTAAAAAAATGACTAATTTAGTTCAACAGTTTACAGGAAATAATTGACACTGACGAAAAAGAAAGATGGACCATTTTGAAATTGATAGATAAACTGCTGCTTACAGCTCATGTAATATCTGTTCAAACTGGATGGTTTTTTAATTCTTAATTTTATTTTACATGTTTTTATACTAAATCAGATATCTTCGTCAGTGAATTTTTGAATAGGAGTAACTCTGAAATGATGATTCTATCCAGCTTGATGCTGGAATATCTACCGTACAAAGTCTAAAATGAACAAATAACTCAATTTGAACACATATTGATTTATATTGACTTCCTATTCTCATCGCTTAACTAAACCGTTTCTGAACCATCAGAAATATTATGGAGATAAACTAACTTGTTTTATATTTCTTTGATACTTCTGTTGTTTCATATAACATTTATTTCAGTATGCAGCATTTCTTCTAGTCATATTTTTGGCGCTGCTTGTATTCACTATTGTATTTGGAACACGTAAACACTGGGTGGGTTGATTCTTTTCATAATGAATTATACTAAATAAAATAGTAAAATCCTATGCTTGCATGCTTTAGTATTAGTTGATTTTGTTAAACTACTTATTTTTTTTCGAAGACAGGAAAGTCGGATATTTTAATTATCACAATAAACGTATTTTGAAAGAAACACTGGAAAAGTCCAATTCTTAACATGTAATAGTACTTTACTCACCCAATAACCAGCTTCGAACAATTGCAAGTACCACGTATTTGTTTAACCTAATATACAGTTACGTAAAAATCGTAAAAACTAACAATCGTTTATAGTTATCATTACCAAGGTTTGATTTGATAATTTCGAATAAATTGAGCATTGGGTAGATTGTTTAAATAGTTTAAATAGTACTATTTAAACTTGGATTAATTTTAATTTGGTTATTTATTCTCTGAAGAAGTGACTTGCACTAAGTCACGAAACGTCAGAAAATCTCATTTTTCTACTCGTTGAGATATTACAAATATATTATTTATAGCAATCGTTTAGTTTGATTATATTCTAGTATTCTCTGTTTTTAACTTCCAAGCAAATATTACTAAGGAGGAAATTAATCAATAAAGATTATGACTGTATACCATTTAAGTCTATTAGATTTGTATCATTAATTACTCACAACACATTTCATGAATCAATATTGTAAAGATCATTATGAAACAAACTGTCAAGTTCCTTAAATTATTCACTTAGCTTATATATAGTTGGTTAAGTGGTTGTATTAACAGGCATCTTTTTGCAATACAACAGAAAAACAGTCATTCAGTCATTCCAAGTGTACCAGAATTGCCATTAAAAAAATTCGAAGAAAGGAGCTACCACCGAAAGATGCAATAATGAGAAACATTCATTCAGTCCGTTGTCGTTCATAAGGAATATTTAGACGATAATGATCTATGATACATGCAATGTTTACTCATTTTTCAAATCTATGTCATAATAGTGTGATTTTTTGTGAGCTTCTTTCATTTGTCAATGTAAAAAATGAGAACCTCACTGGTATTATAGCTTTTAAATTATTAGACCCGGTAATTTATCAGTTTCATGCTCAATTTATCCCTATCCCTATAATGCATTTCATTAGTAATACAAAAACTGTACCATTGATCACTTCGTCAGGGTTTTCTTGTCGTTTGTTGACAAAGTTAGCGAGTTCATTGTCAAGTCAACAACTTTCTTATTCACTATTGCAAATATTTCAGTTATTTGCCACTTAAAGGTTTCCTTTGTTTCCGTTCCTATTGATTTTAATGGTGTAATCAAAGATGGTCGAAATGCTAGAAATAAATCATGGTTTCAAACCTATAAGGTCTATAGGCAGACTTAAGAAAGCCACATTGATTTCTCTATTCCTTCACACTTAGTTTAATTGCTAATACATCTAGCATTTCGGTGAAATAGTTACGTAACTGGTGCACAATAAATATCATGGTTTCTGATAATTTAAAAGGCAAATTTCTCTGTATAGAGCAATTTATATAAGATCTGTTCTGAATAACGTGTAATAAATCTCACCAACTCAGTAAGTACAGTTAAACAAAAAGGAGCGTTTTTATTTAGAAAATCTGAATTGAATTGTATAATATTATATAAGTAGTACTACACAGAATTAACTAATTTGGCTTTTGAAACCACAGACAGTACTGAAAAATCGGGATTACTTTACAAGAAAAAGTATTTAATGGTTGGAATCACTCCATAATCATATTGAATGACAATACCCAGAATTACATTACTTATTCCTGTGTATCCCATCTTCAAGTAGGTACTTGGGAGCATTTGGATCATTGGGAGGTTGGTCCATTCAAGAACCAGCATTATTTGAATAACAATTTCCCAATACTAACTAGCTTTAGGATAAATGTCATTCGGATCTAACAAAATTATGATACTTGAAGTCAGCCTGATCGGAACTGAAACGAAATGGCTCTGACAACATAGGACGATGACAGTTTACCAAAAAATAGAAAACGAGGACCATTGAATTTCAATTCAATAGATGAATAATATGTTCCAAATGACATTTAAAGGTCCTTGGTATGAGCTTGTACAAATCGTGAATATGCCCTTATATTAAATCTCAGTCTATTGACTATTATTAATTCTCCAAATAATCCTAAATGTAAAACTCTCAAATTTTGTTTTCATTACGTTAGCAAATCCAAGCATCTCATTTACTCATGTAAGACATATTGTTTAAACGTCCATAATAAAATAACCTATGAATAATTCCAATTTATTTCGGTTGTTGTAGTTTATCTCTTGTTTATACATGCCATATTTCATTGAGTTTATTTATATTATGTATTTAAATTCCAGTTCCGTGATGAGCTGGGTATAAGTTATAGAAGATCAATTACTAGTGATTATCATATGGACAATAATTTTCCACCAAACACCGGTTTTACTGTATTTGTTAATGAAATTCAACGAAAGGTAAGATCCATTTGCTTGCTTTTAGACATTTATATGCGTTATTTTCACTGTTTCTGTGTATGGAAATCAAAAATAAGTATCCTATTTAGATTTACCGTTGACTAAGTTCATCAAACTAACAGCCTTATATATGTATGGCAAGTGAGAAGTATGCTTGTTTACTGAACAATAAATAGGGAAATCTCATTTAGAGTTTTCGATCAACTTTCTATGTTATGTTCTACATGCTGAGAAAGCCAGACGATAGATAAAATGTCTCAACACTTACACAAATACACTTTTCACTAATTCTTTTGTTCAGATGAATACAAGTCATCTATTAACAGCTAATTTTAATACTAAGACTTAGCGTAACAACACACTAAAATCAAGTTCACTTCATAAAATACAAAATCATGAATACAGAACAATTCACTTTTGACTTAATAATGTCTTATTAATTGAAATAAAGGGTATTGTTTCTAACATAAAGATACGATACAAATTTAAATGATCGGGAATTACATATTGAATAGTCCATGGAGAATCACTGATGAAAATAAAGGTTATGTATCAACAAGTAAGCTGTTATAACTTAGATTAAAGGTACTTGAACATTGGAATAATTAAAGTTATAAGAAATTATAAGTAAGCGGCATTTGTTTTCACATGTTTTTTAGTTTTAAAGGAAAAAGAGATTGTAGACTCAGCAATTTCTCACCATTTTCTTAAAGCAGGGAGATAGATACATATAAGTAAATTATTAAGTGGTAAAACGGTTGACTTATGGTCCTAGTTATATCGATTAAGTATTCAAGAACATTATATATATAATTCATATATATAGTAATGCAAATATCAAACCATAAATAGCTGAGTAAAAAGCTCATTACTTTTTACATTTACTAATTAAGTGACCTTTTATAAAGTGATGTGTGCAAGCTTAACTATAACAGCTGTTTGATGAAATAAATCATTATTTATGGGATTTTTCTGTATCCACGTACTTTTCCAAGTGTTTACTGAACACTGTCAACTAGGCATACTCGAATCACGGGTGAGAGTAGGTCACATACACTGTTATTTGTGCAGTTGTTCAGAAAAACCATTAATTTTGACAATTTTAGAGAAAACGAGTGTACTTAGTTAAATTGAAATAAAACTTAGGTTTCTCGAAACTCACATAAGTGTTTGTTGGTTACTAAAGCAATGTCAGCTATGAAATTATGACTTGTATGATTGAAGTGTAAGCTTCCACTTGACACACAAACACAAGGATATTTCAAAAATCAGCAGATATCTCACAAACGATATTCGGTTAAATTTCAGGAAATACTTTTGTCATCATTATTTAGTTGATTAATTAAACACTTATCTATTTTTATACAAATCAAGCATAAATGCTGTGGTTCTTTTGACTATCGTGACTTCCAAGATAATGAATCATTCAAACGCCAAAATTGTAAGTGCGATTCCTTGTTCTAATCATTCAAAGGTTTACTGGGAAGGGACGTTTTTATATGTTCATATTTATAGATTATTTGAAATATGATTTATTATTCCCTTATTTAATTACATCACACGAAGACTGTTATATTTTACCGAGAACAGTGTCAGATTGATTTATCTATAAATATTCATATTTCGTTGGATTTTGCTACGTCATTAATATTCCTTGTAGGACCCCATGATGCATTCAGTATAAAGTGGAACTAAACAATTGATCCATATTGTCTTCAATCCTGTTCAGAACTGAAAGTGTTTTAATGAGTCTTCTCTTGTTATATCTTGATATACCGCGTATAACTTGAGCACTAGAACGCCAGAACCCTTCCAAGTCGCAATGAGAAGACAGAAGACTAGTGAAAGGAATATTATTCCAGACAGTGTCAATTATAGTACAAAATTGTCAGGTATTTATAGTTTTTAGTAAGAACGAAATCATCATTACAGTCCTCCAGTCCACATACAGACACTTATTATCACTGTCCAGTCGGGAAGCTACACATAGGAATTCTAGAATATTCTTCCAAAAGGTGATTGGATGGAATATCTTCGCCTTTTATGAGCCTCTTACAGCTTCCTCGAGTTCACCCATGATCTGTCCTCACATCTCTGCAATCTAATACATTTTTGGACCAGAAATTACGTTCATGCTCCTATAATCGTCAATATAAGGTCCACATCGATAATGTATGTAGGTGGTCGTAAATATAGATCTAACAACTAATTCAAAGAATACTGTTAAAAATGCCTTATTTAATAGTAATCTGATTGTAAACCTAGACTGTAACAAGGCGTAATATGAGTCGGTAGTCTTTCGTAATCTAACGACACTGAATTTTATCTATTTGGATAATTTTAGGGTGTCATACGTGAAGTTTATCACGAAATGTAACTTTAATTAAGACTGTCTTCACGAAGTTGAGTAATTTGAAATTAATCTTAACGGGTAGCTTTAAAAAAGTGATACCACAGAGTTGCCCAGAAAACTGTAATTTATATTTCATGTCATCTTGAATGTTTTGTGTTCTTTGAGTTAAATAGCTTAGTTGTGAAGCTTTCGTTGTCTTTCTAAACAAAATCATCAACATATATCTTTAAAATAATTGAGACACCTTTAATAACTAAATCAACTTCATACACGGTAAGTTATTAAATATGATGATGAAACAATCATTTGGTTTGTTTCTTTTTTTATGTATTTTCTAACATAGAGTCAATATTCTAGAATACTGTTAAGCTATAAAGAAATAAACTACTTTACAACTAAAAATAGATAAATTGAAATTAGTCTTAACGTAATTAACTTTTGACAGATTCATTCGGATAACCGATGGATTATCAAAATGTACATTTAAGACTATTAGGAATTCGAAGAGTGCTCTGAGTAGTCGAATACTTTATAAATGAATGTATGCTTAAGAAATACAAATATATTAGTAGCATTAATAAACAGAGATTCAAAAAATTGTTAACACTACATATTACTAAGGAGTTTACTAGTCGGTAGTAAAATCAAGTATTAATATCGAACTTTATCAATCAATCAATTAATTAATTTCATTACCTAAACTTCCTATTTTTTCTTAGATAAGATTCCAGCCTCTTGTTGTAAAGATATAAGAGACAAGGAATGCTGGGAACGTCCAACAACACAGAATAGTTATAAAGACACTGTGAGTTTTAATTTTTACCTTTTCATATAAAAGAAAATCGATAAACACTAATATTTTTCAAAAAGGCCACTTTTTATCCTAGAACTGCATCGTGTATATAACATGACCACCATAGATACACATATCTTGGCACCAACCCCTAACGTAGCAGGATAAAATAAAAAAATATTAAGTTATTTAGTAGATGTTAAGCAAATTGACTTAACATAACAGAAAATTAGCTCCACGGTTGTTGTTGTTGTATATCGGAGATATTGAAAAGAACATTCGAAGAAATCATGCGTTTTGACTAATGAACTGTATTTTTTTACAATGAATATCGTGAAAACCAATATCTATCTTATAATGATATGTTAGTTCATACTTTACGACTATTGGTCTATGAATGTGATAATGAAGAGTGATATCTGATAATAAATGAGGGATAAAAATAACTTTGAGTCATTTAGTAACTTCCAGAATAACTGCTAAGAGCACTAATTAGTTTTGAAAGTGCTAAATATCAACAATAATACTAAAATACAAATTTATAGTGAGACATAAACATGTTTTCTCTACTTAATTGAATTATCAAATGAAAAAGATCTCATGGGTATAACAGTTGGTATACTCAAATATTTGGTTTATATAGATAATGCCTGTTTGTGAATCCTTAACTGATGAAACGAACTTTGTCAACAGCACAGGTCGTTAGATCAAATATTGACCTGAAAAATGCTAATAATGATAAAATGTAAATTTGTTTAGAATACAATTATTTATAATCATTTAAGACTCTTCCTCATATTATTATCAATGATTATGCTTTATTTTTCAATTAAAGTTAAGGAGTTCGATTATCTATATTCCAGTATGTAACTACCTTGCCATTATTATTGTCTAAAAAATGTTAGACAAATATCTCACAGTTCTATTCCATAAAATCAGAACACTGGTTATAGTATCTATTTAAACATTGTTCACTAAGATAGCACCTTAGTTTTCAGTAACAAAATATGAGAATTTATAGGCTTTAAATTATATAACGGTTAAGCAGAATACTCCAATAAACATCCAAGAATACACTTGTTGTAAACATTTTTACGGGTGGTAGTTGGCATGTCATGATCTGTTTCATCCTTCAGTATTACCATTATCCTTGGCTTTAAAACATACCGAATAACTGAAGTTAAGTTTTATTGCCACGCTTAAGTTACTGACTTTACATAAGAAAAGACTACATTCGTTACTTGTAAGTAGAAGAATAGTTTGAAAACCACCGCAAGAGAATGAAATCAATAATCCTATCTATACGTAGGTCCAAAAGTTATGCTAAGTAAGATATGTTAATTTTATCTGTATGGCTATGGTAAATAACAACTATTTTTTACCACTAATTACTGGTCTTCTTTGAGATTCATGTTCCAAGTTGAAACTCGGTGTTAATGAATTCAATCCCGAGGAGGATAAATAAAATGGATCATAGAGAAGTACTAAATCAGGTCAAACTCGACTTTCAGTTCTGTCTGATTTTAAAAGATATTATACTCATCATGAGTCAGCGTTTAAACTTAGCTTCAAGATTACTAGATACTTTTAAACAAATCACAAACTTTCTACAATGCCCTGTAGTGTCCTACTAATTTTTGTTATTTTCAAGAGTAAAATTATCCAGGTATACAGAGTAAAGTAATATCAAGAACGCTCGGATTACACTTGAGTATGAATACTTACCTGTTTGGTCTAACGCTATCAAAATTATGAACAATTGGACTATTTGTATAAGACTTAACTTTTGATAGGTTTATAGAACAGTGCTGCAGTTAACGCAACGAATTTAAGTAAAATAGATCTGATTTAATACGAGTTAGGAGCTTAACATTGTAGGAGATATACCCCACCATTGATTAATAGAATCCAAGTGTCAACGTTTTACGAGAGAAAATCAGAAGCAGTTTGTAAAGTCCAACCCAAATGCCATTAGTCCGGAAGTATAGATTGTCATACTTTACCCTTCTGATTACAAAAGGCAGAAAGTACAGCTGAAATTACATTTGATTCATACCAATCATTAGTTTAAATTTGAAATGTGGACTGAACATTCGGTCATTAATTTGCACTTTAAAGATATTGTGTTTGTCACGGAGCCTGGAACCCACGTCCTCTACTCCATGCAGGAGCGCTAGACAGGCTTGGCACATGTATCCAGTGTTGTCAAGTCCGTACTGGTTTTTCAGGTTATATCACTTCGTGACAAAAACTATATACAGTCACTGAACATAAGATAGAAGTCGACAAAGTTGTTATTGTAATGTTTAAGTATATTTTATTCTTAGTCATCAAAAGGTGATTATTTTGCCTCATGTCACTCTTCAGTGTCATGTGACCTAATTATTTTAAGCATTTTATTTTCAGTCACTTGTTTATACATTCAAAAGTTCTTTCATCTATATTGATTTATACACTCAGTTATGATTCACATTTGTTATAAACTCAAATATAGTTCAAGGGAGTGGGCAAAAGAACTTATATTTGGATCATTTTACAATTTAATATGATTTTCTCATTCACTCCTTTCATTTTCTATTTTTGTTCAACCTTTTCAGGGTTGTTTCGAGTTTCTATGGTCAGCGGCACAACCAAGCTATCGAATTATTCTTTACATCTTGATTGGTCTGCTATTACTTACGGTTAGTTAATTAGCTTATTTTTTAATGCAAGATCTAATTCATAGGAATTATATACAACATCGTGCCTTCATCAATTTAACCAAGGCCAAAACACTACGAATAATAAAACGAATCCATTCTATTTCAAGGCTTTCAAATTAGTTTCAGATATCAGTATGAAGTTGACCAACTAAAATGGATCATACCGTTGTTTTTAATTACATTGTTCCCTGTAACTTCAAGCTGTTTTCAACTGATTAGAAGCCTTGAAATAGAATGGATTCGTTTCATTATTCATAGTAATTAATTGAATAAAAAGTTTAGTATATTGCTTGTTTAACATTATCAAAGTATTCCATAACTGACAATATCAGCGAGTACGTTATCTGTAATTATGCAAAACAATAAATCCCACACTCGAATCCAAAATAACCGGAGAAATAAATGTAACTGGACTACTCAAAAGTGAGAAGTGTTTAAAATCATGAATCGATCAATGTTAGACCACTGTTAAAAACCTGGAAGCACTGGAAGGCCGTTTCGTCCTAGTATGAGACTCTTCGGTATTGTATATCCACGATCCGACACTCAAGATGGTCACTCAGTACTGTGGATTGATTGAGGTTAGACATTAACATCGTTGGATGCCGGATCAGTGATGTAGAGGTTAAACGTTTGCGCGCGAGATCGTGCATGAGCACTATTGAGGAATCTCATGCTGTGACGAAACAGTCATCCAGTGATTCCAGGTTTTAAATGGTTGTCTAAAATTGATCGATTCATGATCTGAATAAAAACTCAACGATCTCTACATCCGTATACTGATAAGAAGTGATTGTTAAATTAATTACTCACATGTTAACTCGTATTTTGAGTCCTTTCAGTTCTAGATGTTATAACGGGGAAAATGTTACGTGACTAACCGTTTGATCTGGTTGTAGCCGGGTGAAGGCTGCTCACCAAAATCAACTTACTGATGCGATGAGCTACTGAAAAGATATAGAGAAACAGAACAACCAGTTACCGAAAATAAGTTGGTTCATGTGATAAAACTGCGTGCCTGTGTACAAACGTTTTTTTACCAAATCAATATGATTAAGATTGATTTAAAAAGTAAATAGTTGTATAGGTCATTAATTTATGAAATTAAGTACTGATTAACAGGTTTACTTAATGTTCACTACAGCATTGTTATGATGAATCAATAGGGAGAATAAGATGCTACATCCCCGAAGAAATAGTTGAGATTTAAGTCAAAGTAGTAGAGTACAGTCCTGATCACTTTTGGAGCTGTTCATGGAAGCGAAAATGGTCTACAGTAAGATTAAAGGTATTAGTCAATGTATCCTAGAAATTAATAGTTTGACTAGAAAAAATCATTTTCTAAAATGATGTTGTTCAAAATGTCCAGGATTTTGCTTCAAAACAGACTGGCGATTTCTTTTTTTTTCACTAGTTTAAAAAACAAGATCATTATATAGCTATTAAAGCTCTACGTTTATTATTTATTTGTGATGATCTGTTATAAAATATGGTGAACAAATATCTCTTGAGAGAAGTTAATCAAACTATAATAGGATCATTAGATTTCGGCTTATAGCTATTTTAACTGATAAATTAAGGGATAAGTTAATTAAAATCGAAACCTATCGAGCAGTGTAACCTACAAAAAGCAACATATGACGAACATATTACACCACCACACAAATAACTGTAAACTCGTTTTTCAGTTGTCAACCATCTTACTTGATGATTGCTATATTTTCTTTTTGTTTCCTTTTATTCCATAGTTTACATTCGCGGTTATCTCTATCTACCTGCTTACACGATATTCAAGGGAGAAAATGCAATTGTTGTAGAGAAAACAAACTATTTCACCAATTTATTTGCTTTATATCTGTCTCACCTAATATCCCAGTTGAATTTATCTTTAGCACATACACCCTATTTATTTAACGTATTATATACAAATACCTAGGATCATCATATAAATTATAAAATTCGAAACTGTCAATTTATTAATATTTGATTATGGTTACACTTTTTTTTGTCATCAGTAAACTTTGTACTGATCGGTTAAACACACATCGAGAGTTCAATTAGCGCCAAGTAAAAGTTACGATTTAGGAAAAACAAAAACAAAACAACTGTAAAAAGTGAACAGTTTAGAAAAAGTATCCTGTAAAATTCAATTTCACTCGTCTTTTCTTTTTATTTAAGACGCTTAATCCATCTTCAAAGTGTTGCAAAATAAACATTTTAAAAGCGAATAACATTTAATTTTAAAAAAAAGTCACTAGAAAAAATCTCTTATCTAACTTCACTTTATTGTTATGCGGACATTTGATTATTAGTCACCTGACATGTATTATTATTCTACTTGCTTTCTCATTATATACATATCAATATAAACATTAATTCTATATTATTCAAATTATATTAGCGCCTAACCAATAAATATTGCACATGGCTTTAATAATATACAAGTACTGTCGTACATACTTTTCCATATGCTCTATGTACATGTAGTATATTATTATATATATATGCTTATCATTCTGCTAATATATTCACCCATTAAATATACTTCATGTTTATACCCCATCCATGTTCTTATTGATTATTAACCATATTTTTTTTAGAATTTTTATTGTTAATATTTATATGCAAATTAGTTAGAAATGAAAGTGAACAACATTTCATATTAAAGTTAATTAATAGTCATTTAAAGTTTATCTAAATTTCTGGAGAGTCAACAGATGATTTTCATATTCATATCAGAAGGGTTTTGTGAATATGATAGTAGGTTCAATGGTTGAGATCATGAGTCAATTGAAGCTAAACCACTATGGAAAACCTGGAAGCACTGGACGGCCGTTTCGTCTTATTGCGAGACCCCTCAGTTGTTAGACATTAACACCGTTGGATGGCGGCTCAGTGGTCTAGTGGTTAAGTGCTCGCGCGCGAGACTGATAGATCCTGGGTTCGAATCTAACGGGGAGAGACCGTGGATGCGCACTGCTGAGGCGTCCCACAATAGGGGAATACGGCCATCCAGTGCTTCAAGGTATTCCATGATGGTCCAGCTTCAATTGGCTCATGATCTCACCCATTGAGATTTTCTTATTGTTCAATCACTTATGATACCTTATCTTTATATTTTGGTTTAAGCTGTTGTTTAATATCGAAAATCTTCATCCGACTGCAAATAATTCATTGTGTAGCTTATCATGAGCGAAATTATACATGAACTAATTGAATAGGAAGAAAATCCTTGTGAAGCATTAGAATTCATGACTATTCTAGCAAATAAGGAAACTGATTTCCTTTCATTTTCTTATCTAATCTACAAGTGTCTATAATGTGTATTTGTTGACAATTTGATTAACGTGTACCTTGTCATAGAACAGTACAAATGATCTAAAATGACGAATCTAAAATTGTGGTACTCAGTTTTCAGAATCATACGCAGCCTACTAAATCCCTACGTCTTCAAACGTCACGAGCATACTATTTTAAGTTTTTACTTCGAATTTTGTATATTCCTTGTCAAAGACGATTAAAACATTCTATCTTCTGAAACCATGGACGGTAGTTGCTGATTTATATATTTTTATTACAGTTAGCGTTGATTACTTTCATTGATGTTTCTCTCCTACTTTTCAAACAAACATACACATCTTAAAATAGTTGAACTCACAAATCATATTATAAGAACAAACCAGTTTTCCTGTTTTACGACAGTATGAACACTAAATAATTAAGTTCCTTATTTCCATAAAAAAAATTTCGATCTAATAATTCTTTGGATAGAAGATAGATTATCCCAGAAAATTTCAGACAGTAGGATTATCCTAATAAATGAATGTTTTTTGAAAGTTTATGTACTACCAGTTTAAGCTGTTGCGCTTTTTGTATTCCAAATGACAAGTTATAGGATTTGATTTTACATTGAACATCGGTGACACTAATCATACCTATACTAAGAAATAGTAACATACAAGGCGTTCAAACTATGGTGCAAGGCTGTATACAGCATCAACTGGTTTAACAGTAAGATAAGTGTGGATATGTTATTATGACAAATGTCATTACATATATATACTTTTTGGTTGTGCGTACGCATATTTCAGTTTGCTTCAAATAAATAAACATGGTTTTTTTTCAACAAAGAACTTGGCTAATAGTCTATTGTCAGACTGAATATTTTAAGTAATCGCAAACTTTTGGACTAATAATAATGCGAATTTAGACGACACGTTATTTAGGGCCATGGGTCATCTAATCACAATTTACCAAAATTTAAAATATAAGATGCAGAATTTGGTGTTACGGAATGTTATATAGGAATATATCTCAGGAAAGTTGTAACAAGCTAATGACCAGATGAGGTTGAAATTTTCTCAGTCTAGTGACTGTTTGTGTAATTTTCATAAGAATTTCACTTCATGTTTAGTAAGGGATAACAACTAACAATTCAGGTAAATATACCGGGTATGAAAATTGAAGTTAGTAAGATATTGACGAATTACAAGCAAAGATGGTGGCTAGTAGTGGGATACATGTCATTTGGGACTAGTTAGCTAGGTGTACCGGCGTCCTAGAGTTGATGTCCACTCCGGGACTCGAACCCAGTACTGTTCGCTCCAAGCACCATCACGTTATCCACTTAGCCACTGAGTACCGATAGCCACTAGTTTGTGCAATGTGTTGAAGTTTAAATTGACTTGTTATTTTTTTATTTGTATCTTCCCATTGTTGATGCCCATTATGCCAATAAGTGACTGATTAATCGCAGTCCTGAACAACAATGGAAAATACAAGTAAATAATACTAAGTGAATTTAATGACGAATTACGTTTAGATATAAACTTCACTGGCAAAAGTGGAGATTGAGACAATGATTTCAGATTTCTAAGAGGTAATAAAATGTACTTTGATTTTATAAAGTAGATTTCTGAGAAGTTTTGCATTGAAATACAAGGAAAAGTTGTTTAGTGGGTAAGTTAAAAATAAATCAGCCATACCGACTTACTAATAAAGACTAATTGAAACAGTATTAGTTTGGTGAGTAGAATCATTAAAGTGTTAGTAAGAGACAATATTTTAAACTCATGGAATCACAAATTTTTATACAAGACGAATGGATCAGCAAATATATGGGCCCTATAGTTAAGAAGGTACTGTCAATAAGATTAGCATAAGACATCTATCCAATAAAATCAAAACTCCAATTTCACGAAAAGGATGTTCGGTTTCATATGTTTATTTTAGAACTGTTAAGTTTTTTGTAACTAGCAAAGCAAATTGTTATTTTGACAGGAGTCAGACTATATATAAACTTCAACTTTTATTACAGATGAAAATTTAGTCGTGAAAAAGTTCTATCCTCTGTCGTTCATAGGATTAGTGGGTTTAACCGAGGCTAAGCAAAATGGTACATCGAGTTTACTCCTATAAATACTTACTGCGTCAGTAGGAATACTTTTAATTATATATATTGTCCATTAAAGTCTAAATTCTCGGATGGGATGACAGCGTCAACAAAATGTGTGATTAAGTAACAAATGCAGTGTTGGAATCACGGTTTTTAAGTTTGATGAATGAATGAATTTGAGAAATCATTTTTCTTTACATTAATGTAATACATCAGTGTCACTATGAACTCTAAAAACAGTTCAAGGCCGATACTATGATATCGGATGTATTTGACTAACTGTAACCATCATCCATTAAGTTAAATTGGTGATAGCGAAAGACTAAATCTTGTTTCTTGAAAAATTCTCAGCATAAATAGTATTTATAAGTTTTCGAGATTTATTTATGTTAGTGCCACAAGGAAATGTATTGACTATTCGGTTCTCAATAACAAAGATATACTGTAGATGTTTAATGAAATTCAATGGGAAAAGACACAACATTCCACATCTAAATGTAATGTCTTTACGCAACCATTTACCTTAACAGTACTAAGAATCATTGAATCACACGTTATTATAAAAAATAAGGTTTTCATTTGAATTTGAAAAAATATATTTCTCGTCATTTTAGCTGTGTTGCAATCGTATCTAACAATAAAGAGTATCAAATGAATGGTCTTTAATTACTATGTATTTATCAAACCATTAAAAGCAAAACGTGATAAATAATACAAGGAGTTCCACGCAGGCTGTCATTGGTTTATTGATTGTGACACTGAATATTGCGGATCCAAGTCTGATAAAACGTAAGATTTGCTGACTTTACAGATATATTTTGCTGCGAAATTCCATGATGTGAATAGCCTAGATTTAAAAAATTATTGTTGATTGGTTGGGAAGATGAAATTGTAGAGTCGGCTATTATGCTAAGCCCATATACCTTATTCTAGCTTTCGGACATCCCATTCTATTCATTCTACTTGAGCCATACTTTGACCTTGTTATTTATTCGCTTATCAATCTAGACTGTTTTTATATGAGCGTATATGTGTGTGCCCTTCTTATCCCATTAATCACATGTCTGTAGCTTATTTCTGTCTGACTATAAATATTGAGTAACGTTTGACTAAAATGGGGTTGGCTTCCCAGCCATCTTCCCTGGGTGTCATTTTGCTTAGCTCTGTTTCATTCGCTTCATATACAAAATATATGTATTCACAAATCAATTCTCGTTATTCGACTTATTTAATTCCGTCATTGACTAACGCGATTAAGTCGACGATGATATACGAGAATAGGCGATAGCAACCATTCGTATGATCTAAATAGGAGTCAGATCCACGGGTCACTAAAAAATACTAAACCTCCTCCAACATGATATGGAACCATTTAAATTTGATGATTGAATATAATCGGCAGGAAATTCTAGACTTTTCTGCTAGTTAGCACGTCAAAGGGGTACTTTTGATGCTCAGGGAAGTTGTGTGCCTCATAGAATTCGCCGGGTTTAATAATATAAGACGTCACTTTTGAGCTGTAACTAGTCTGTAGGACTAAGATCATTCTCCTCAACATTACAGATGCATTTTGTTAGTCGGTGCCAACTAATAGAAAACCCTGGTCTAGGGTTTCCTAGTGAGAACCTCTAATCATCTAGCACAACCTAGACTGTTGGTTGTAGTGAAACTGAATCTGTAAAATTTGATCAACTCTAAGGAATAAGCAAACAGGACATTACTATTGAAAAGTACTCAGCCAATGTAACCATTTAGCTTGATGACCACATTACAAACGCAGTTGGTAGGATACATTCTACTCTTCAGTGATCAATAAGTATACGGATGTACATCTCAATCAGTCACTTGTCTTCACTTAATCATTGTGCACTGGAACGGATGATAGGACATAGTTGTAGAGCCAGTCTGATTAACAAACTATGTATATTTTAACTACCACGAATTCACAGCTGGTTGTTTCGTTTATCTAGCTCTAGCCTAAACATTTTTACATCCCCACTTCTCTGCCCATATCAGTATCAACCAACCTAATGGATCATTTTGAGAAAAAGTCAAAATGTGAAACAAAATACGTTCAATGTATTTCTTTATTACTGGCGTTAAAAATAATTATTTTTGTAGAATACTTTTTCACTCGACTATGTATAACATTTATCAAACAGACCAATAAGGAAAAACTTGAGAGACAGAGAAAAAAGAAAGATAGGCAACTTGCCTGGGTGAAGTTAACAGAAACGATAAATGAGATAAACATGTGTGCAATTCAAAGTACACACAAAATACGATATATATTTACTGCAAGGATGCTGATAATGATAACAGTAATAATAACAACAAAAATAAAGGCAATCTTATTTATACCGTAAATGGGATGATATATATATAAATTAATCAACAGAAGTAAATTTCCCAACGTTCCTCTTCCCTACCACTAGTAACATGTGTTCACTTTATCTGCTTCATTAAATGACAATAAACTTCTAACAATCTCAATGAAAAGGTGTTAGTTTTTCGGTCATTACATTTTTACTGACTGGTTGTCTTACTCCGAAACCAAAAATTGGAAGAATAACGGAAGGTAAGAAGTAACAAAGCATATAGACAATCACACACATTAAACAGAAGAAAGACTAAGCAGAATTCAGCATTGAATATAACTATATCGAGAAATAAAATGATGTACTAGATAGATTATATATTTTATGATGGAATGCCGAGAATGAATGTCACAGAAGACGAGACCTGTGTATTTCACTTACTGAAGAAATTCTGATGATCAAATAAAAAAGTGAAGAAAATTTCACAAAGGGTATTCTAGATTATCTATCTATGTATATAAATGTACGTCATCATACTTCAACAAAGAGTCATGTGAAACTCTCCTCAAAAGGATAACTATTACAGAAATATAAAGTAAACCAAATATAACACATTTGTTGATTCTCTCTCAATTAGCGTTTCCCATGAAGTAGAACAAGTTCTGAATTGCATGGATATTTTTCACAATAACAAAATGTTTAACACAAGATGAAATTAAACGAGTTTACTAAAAGCAACTTCGTATCATGAAATTAATTCAGAAAATAGGTTTGAAATCAGCAAACGTAAGGATAAAGATAATGATTATTCTAGGCGTCCTTTCTGAGCACTAGTCAGATCCGTTGCAGTAAATTAAAGTTAATGTGTGTATGTGTAAAGAAGCGCGCAAGCAAAAGCATCTAATTAGTCTGTAAATTTATCTTAAATTCGCAGTTTTTATTATTCCACCAGGGCCTGGAAGTTGTGTTTTACCCATTAAATCAAGATCCACTTGACGTGCTGCAAGCCTACCCTCGTTAATTGCATGTACCACGAGAGATTGCCCACGTCGACAATCTGAAATTTCATAGAAACAATGTGAATGGAAAATTTATTAGAACAGTACATTTGACATTTCTTATGACAAAATAAAATAGATATATTCAGTTCATTATGGTGAAAGTGTTTCTCAACAACTCGGAGGTCAGTAAAAATTCTGAACCTGAACAAAAGTCTAGAGAACTGTCATAGATTTTTACGCTTTACTGGTATAACAATCCATATAAAAGTCAAAGAAACATCGTATATAGCGCATATCTGTGAGAAGGTGGAAAGTTAGCACAGAATTATTGAGCCAGTCAAATGTAAACGTCTTAAGCATTCCCTTCATTAATGGTTATTTCCATGAGAATTCATATAAGCTTTGAGGAAAAATGCTCGTTAATAACACGCTACTTCATTATTGGAGTTTAGAGCATTATTTGTTCTACTTGTCATAATTGCATTTTCAGAATGGGGGTTTTGTGAAGATTTTAGTAATTTAATAGTTGAATTCATGAGTCCTTTAAACCTAGACCACCATGGAAAACCTGAAAGCACTGAACAGCCGTTTCGTCCTAGTATGGGACGAATCCCGCGTTCGCTACCGTGGATGCGCACTGCTAATGAATCCCATGCTGGGGCGAAACGGCTGTCCAGTGCTTCCAGGTTTTCCATGGTGTTCTAGTTTAAATCGACTCATGAATTCAACTGTTAAATTATTTGTATTTTATGGAAAATAGTACACTGATGAAATAAATTCCTTAACTATTTTAGTAGTTCAGTCAAGATTGATGGGTCATAAATATCTAGAACAATTATGTCCCGTACTAGTGAATCAGATCTAATTAAGCTTACTTGAAATTTTGAACCAGTGTCATTCAGCATGCTGAATTATTATCAATTCCAAAATGAACATATAACTCTTTTTTTTCAGATAGCAACATCAAAGTAAAAATGACGATAGGTTTTCATTCAAATTCTATTTATTTTGATTTAGATCTAGTAGTTGAATATTTTGATCTTGTTATACCTCATCACTTTGTCTCATTTCTAAACAGAAATTAATTTATTCAGTCAAAATTTAGGAAAAAATAATTGAATTCACTAGTCATGTTTTTGTTTTCAATTTAGGTTTAGATTACGTAATGTATGTAAATGCGTGCAAGTATTTGTTTTGTTGATAAAGTTAGTTTTTTTATAATAATGTTTTGATTATCATGAACAATATAAACTAGAATATGCTCCGTTATGTTTGTGACAAGTAAACTAAATATAACTGTGTGGTGTGGGTTACTTATATTCACACAAGTAGTATATAACGATGGTCAGGCATAGAATGTATTTCAGTAGAAGGTCTATAAGGAAAGAACGGGAACGGAACGCAATTGGTATGAAAACGTATGAACAATGAAATGAGACAATGGATTGATGTTTGCAACAGGAACAGTCAAGTTTGAGACGATGGATTGAAATTTTGCAAATTAACGGTTTACTATGGTTCTCAGATTTTAGTGAGATGCTCTGTAATTTTGTCTCCACTCGTGTTCTTGTTGATTACAACTGTATAAGTTAACTTTTCTTAAAATTCTAACCACCCGGTAACTGAGTGAAAAGTCACTTTACCACAGCACCATTATTTTCATAGGCATCTTTAAATCTTGGGCTATAACAATTTTAAAAAACTCGATGTGATATTAAATATTTAACATAATTAGGTTAACAACATCGTAATCGGTAGCGTTTAATGATTTTGGAAGAAACTTAAGTTCGTAAATCGATTTAATTAACTAATAGTAATCTGATTCCCAAAACTGCACGATTAAAAGATAATAAAGCAAATGTAAACCGCAACAATTTTTGACATTTTCATCACCAGTTGCAAAAATTCACTGATATCAGTAGCCAATTTACTTCACGATTATATGCAGTAGACTCAAACCGGCTCCAAAGAGTTATTTGGTCGTTTATGCAGATGTACTTATACTACTTATCTACCGAATTGGTCTTTCACTTGCAAATTAATAGGTCTCAAAGTTTTTCAATGAAATCATACTGCCATTTCCTACTTCTTCACTGAAACCATGCAATAGCAATGATACCTTCATTTAATAATCCAAGACTGAATACCTTAATCCTCTCCTTTCTGAGTTCATAGGTATCAATGTCAACGTTGGACTTGATAGTTTCACGAAATGCCAGAAATACAACTTTTCTACTCATTGGGATATAACAAAAGATATATTTATTATCGGTCTTTTCTGTTTGCCATCAAGGTATATGCTAATATGTCAAGTGGATACAATAGAACTTAACTAAATTAATCACTGAATATTCGAATACTGCTTAAATAGAATGGTGTTTTGTTATATTTATTTACTTCACTCTTTTTGAGTAGTATTTGCAACTTTTCTGTATAATAACAGTATGACAATGGCAGAAATTATCACTAATTTTTATCTCAAAAATGAAAACTGTCAAAATAAGAGCAGTTGAGTGTAAAGGGAATAGATCAATGCAGAAGTGTTTTTGACTTATTAGTGCATAAACATATATGGGAATTTAGAGGAGTCATATGTTGCTTACCAAAAGGATTAATAAGTCTATAAAAGTTCGTGCCTTCAGCTTTTATTTTTGTACACAACTTAAATCAAATTTCTTAGACTGTATAACAATAATCTGTTTCATGTTTTATACAGATTCACTGAAATATTCTTCAAATTGCATCATATATCAAACGTTGCTTGGGTTGTGTAACATAACCAACAGTTTTCTTGACTCTCTTGTATTAAAACTCACTTCTCAACTTAGCAGTGCTTTCTGAGCAATCTATGCACCTGTAAGTTATCGTAACGACGTCCGATTTGTAAAATATCATTTTTTTGTGCAAATCCTTCTTAATCATGCAGGTAAATATACAGGTGACATTTAAATGAGAATCAAATATTTCCGAAGCCCTAGGAAAAGGTGAATGGTAGGAAATACCAGAAGATTTCGTCAAAATGCTTAAATAACTCATTATTTTATCATAACCAGTGCAACTTTCTAAGTAGTAACAGTAGTGAACTGAATGAACTGTCATACTTCATTATTTTAAACCAAGCAATTGGAAACTAGCTACTGAGTATCACTTAACAGTATAAGGGTGAACATAGATAGTTCTTAAACTGAATGTTTATCACTAATGTGTTCATTTTATATTACTGCATGTTTCATATAAGTTATATTAGTGTAACTTTATTTTGAAAGTGTGTCTAACTGTAAAATTCTAAGGTTGGCACTTCTTTAAACTGTCTTGATACGTGAATACAAGTCCGTAGTTTGTCAATAAATTCACAAACAAACTTTGAAATGATAAAATGTCTGTTGAAGCTGAAGAATTAAGTTAAGTACAAAGTTGAATATCCTGGCTTATCAGGTATGATTTGGATTCTAGAAAAGTGAAGATAATAGATCACGTAAAGGTTATTTTTCTATAGCAAAAAATAACTAGAATAGACTTAGAAATACTGGAACTCTTAAGAAAACGTATTATTTTTAAACTATAAGAATCTTTTGAGACTATAAATGATGTTACTAATAATATATGGCTATTAAATTTTAGTTTGAATACAAATAAAAAGTTGGACGCCTGAATGTAATTAAGGAAATCTCACTTACCTCCAGCAGCATAAACCTTAGGAATGCGTGTAGTGTATGGTTTATCGGGTAGAACTTGAATTACTGACTGACTAGTTAAACTTAGTTCAAATTCCTTGATTAATGTTGTTTCAGGTCCCATAAAGCCCATAGCTAGTAAGACCAAATCACATTCGAATGTTTCTTCAGAATCTTATAGAAAAAAATTTTAAAGAAAGAAGTTACATTTTTCAAAGTCTAGTTCATTGGTTATGTTGGTAAGTTTCCATGATAGTATTATAAGTTGATCAATAAACATGCTGTTTAAGAACACTATTCATATTAATAAATCAACAACTTGCCATAAAGTAGTCTTCGGAATTAAAGATAATATATTGATTAAAATCAAAGTGACCACTGATATCACCGGAGGTATAAACGCATCACTGTTCCTCTTTAAAAAAAATACTTCAATGCCTTTTGAAATTTTTACTACATAAATCATGCACTTGACTTTGGTGTTTCAGATCGGTTATTTGTAAAGTGCACTGAGTTCCAAATCTAATTCATCAAACAACTGTTATCTAACAATTAAAATGATCTGGACGAGTGAAGATGTCTTTTGGTTAATTCGAAGCTAACATAACAAATTATTCAACATAGTAATGGATCATTCAAGCAAATAATTTGTTCTTTGACAAATCTTCATCTTTCATAGTTAAGATCTTGAGTCGTTTGAAGATAGAGCACCATGGAAAAGCTGAAAGTACTGGACAGCTGTTTCGTCCTACTGTGAGACTCCTCAGCAGTGCGTATCTACGATCTCGCCTTGCGAAATTCAAACCCAGGACCTGTCAGTCTCGTGCGCGAGACCATATTATTTATTGAAAATTCACATTTTTAAGTGAATTCACTACTTACACGATTACATTTAACTTCTGGATTATATGAAAAGTTAACTGCTTAATTAAAATGTCTCATGTTGTACGTAGTGTACTTCATTCAATTTTACTTAATACGTTCAAGTTCAAATTCTTACGTTTTAACCTAGTTTTAGTATTAATGTAGACGAATTTCGACGAATAGTAAATTTTGAACTGTGAAATTGTTTTTAAAGATGCAATAATCAATGTGAATTTTCTAAAATATGGTGCAAACTAATCAATTAACCATGAAGATATATACTAAGATCTAATTTCTCTGTTAGGAAACACTTCAATGATACCTGAGTATGCACCATTTCTGGAAGATAAAGTATGTATGTTCTTCGGATTAAACAAAATAGATAGTTATGACTTCAATAATTTTATGACAGTGATATTGTAAAACAAACTATGAAATTTACTTGGCACTTCAGTCATTAACCACTTCCCGGTACTTGATTTGGTCCATGCAACTTTAGTAGTACGTATCCCGCCTACTGATCCTTTCCCGTTGTCTAGAAATTCTTTAGTTATTGTATTAAATTGTCTTGGGTCCCCATTTATACGAACAGCAACTTCTGAGTGCCCATAATCTACTCTCCATATGCGAGGCCATTCAGGCCATGGATTTTCATTAATATCACGATTAATTGGTGGTGGTGGGAGAATCTCAAACACACGAATAGTTTCAGCTCCCTGTGGAGTAAATATTTAACATAAGACTTATAAGAAAATAAGAAATGGATTATTTGGTTAACAATCTCATTTACAGGGGATTGTAAATACCACTTAAAAGTTAAATAAAGTGGCATTCTATCTAACGTGAGTTAATTATTTTATTGTGAAAATTCCTTTTTTGCCATTTGGTAAATAAAGAACAAACGAATCGAGCTCAATTCGTTCCTTCTTTAATTATTTTATGTTGAACATTTTCAATGAATTAAACTATTCTTTAAGTGTATTTGTAATCATATCTTCTTGAATTTCTCTTATTCCCCCAAACTATATGAGACGACTTTGAATACTCAGAAATAGTTATTCAATATTATCTGTTCTACGAAATCATTCAATTTAAAGTAAGAAATAAATCTATTTGTCCTCTTTTTTATTTAAATTTCATTTTGATGAAGTTATCGTTCGAGCTAAGATTGCTTAATACACTTCTAATTTCGACTTTCAAACAAATCAATACGGTTATATTTTAAAGATGATCAAAACAGTACATGAGCATCCTATGATATAAATAATTTGCATTTCACTGAATTTTAAAACAAATTAATTTCTAAGTGAAAGTTCATATCATTCAGTACTTTTGTAGATATCTATGCACATTTTAAAGTCACTTAGTACTAAAATATAACTCTCTTAATATAAAAATTTGACTTACTTGGCGTACAGATGTAGCAATACAATCAACACCTGTGTCACCCCCACCAAGTATAACTACACGTTTACCTTTGGCTAATGTAGCCACAGAATCACAATCAAAATTCTTATCGTTTTGAAGATCAAAATATGTATGCTTTATCTTATTCTTGTGTTGATAACGTTGCCAGCGTTCAAGGAAACTCATAGCAAAATGAATACCTTGAAGTTGACGACCTTAAAAATAGAAATTGTGTGAAAGATAAAAAATATTATTGTAAGATCATGATAGTAACATATTTTCAGAAAAAAACTTCATTTATAACAATATCGGCGAATATCTAATTGTATAGATTATATGCAATTTGAAAAAAGGTTAGTGATTACTCTGAATTCTGATTTTTTCATACATATTATAACCCCAGTGTCCAAATAAGGGTTCATATCACTAGATTTCCAACTATACTGTTTAAAAAGTAGATTACTACCTGATTTCCCTCTTCAAAATGGTAACAGGTGTTCGGAACCTGTGAATAAAGTATATGAATATGTTTAAACAACCAAATCATAACTTTGCTAATAATATTTCTTTAAATGCTCGAAAATCACTTCATTACTTGAAGCATGTATATTCCACTTTAAACCTACTCTGGTAATATTGGCTTATTATCCAGAGTGATTAGGTTTCAAATTGTGTTCACATTATTATTATTACTCTTATTATTATCCTTGTCTCGTCTCACCTTCCGTTTCCAGTCTAGTTGACCTTTTAAGTTTTATATATAAATGCTCTTAACAAGTATATGTGTGATCAGATTGTTCGAAATGTATTGTGCTAATATATCAATCACATAGCTCTGATAATCTTCGTCTTCTTATTACATTATCGATATTTATAGTCATTACATAACTGCTGCGGGATCGTGGATGCGCACTGCTGAGGAGTTCCATACCAGGACGAAACGGCCGTCCAGTGCTTCCAGGTTTTTAATGGTGGTCTAGCTTCAACTGACTCATGATTTCAACCTGTGAAATTTCTTAAACTCTCCACAAAACTCATTCTGATAACTTCTTTATTCTTGAAAATCAGTGTTTATTCTATTCATGTCGGTAATTTCAATGTTGAAACAAACAGCTTATTTAATCAACTGACTTCATTCTCATTAAAGTTATTTCAAAAATAAAATCCCATTTTGATTTATTATAGACTTGATCAAATGTTCTATTGTTTTCACGTTAGATATCCAAGACAGCTATTAAGTTTATGATGATCAAGGATAAAAAAAAAATTAAATAAACATTTTTTCACCTTTAATAAATGCAGAAATTATAAATCATGTAAAAATAATTCTCCATTGTAACTTAATGGAGATTTGAACAATCATTACAATGTATTTGATCAATCTGATTAGTGATTCAACTTGCATATTCAGATCTCGTAGTGGCCAATTGTTCGACATTGTTCAACTCTACTAGACTGGTGATACTGAGTAACTGTCATCATATTAAATTGGTGAAAGTTTTTTTCTACAGATTTTGCTTGATTGATGATGCAATCCAAGACTCGTCGTTAAAATAGTTTCCTCTTATTCTTTCAAACTTACCCATATGTCATAGTTGAGTAAGATGGATTTTTCGGAAATAGTTCAAAATTGAAGTTAGATATCGGTTGATAAGGGTTAGTATACTTTTAGCTTCAGCGATTATACTACCTTGTCAGGGAAATATCCTTGTCGACATTCAACCAAGGATTCTGAAGGTGTACTTTTAACTTCCTGATTAGTTTGTTGTCAGCTTTAAAGAAACTGAATGGTAAAATTATCATCTTATTCACAGTAATTTACAAAATGATTACCTGGTATATTCAAATCCCGAGGCCAAGTGGCACCCAAACATAAAACTATTGCATCAAATTCATCTAGTAGTTTTCTAGCTGACCAAATGTTTTCACTATCTGCTGGATCGCGACAAACAGCATTCAAATCTCTGGGTTCTGAAGGTTGGCCATCATTACCGACCCGTGTATTTAGCTCGAACTTAACGCCATTAGCTTTCATTAGATTTAATCGGCGATCTAGAACCTCACGGGAAAGTTTCATAGTTGGAATTCCATATCGTAGTAAACCACCAGGTAAGTTTCTTCGTTCGATTACTATTACATCGTGTCCAACCTGTAAAAGCAGAAAATTAATAGTTACCGTGATGAATAGCCTATTTACTGTGCAGTTGATTATGTTATGCTGTGTTTCAACCTATCATAATAATACAAAACAATTTCATACTGCATATTTCGAATTCGCGTTCTTGATTGTATCTTGAAGAAGTTCTAGACTTATTGGGATTGGTACTATATCGTTATATTATTTCAAATTGAAATCTGGCGTCGCGCTTACTTCTATAGATTTGTTGTTACAAAATGTTTACATTTATGAGTTCCGTCTTTAAGTTTCCCCAGTAAATGTGTTTGAGCATTCAACATAAACTATATTCAGCGGAATAGGACTCAACGACTACACAGCTAAAATTTGAATCTAACTCTTTTTTGAACTAGGAAATAATTATTGCTTTACCCATGCATTTACCTTATTTAGTTGATCTGCACAAGCTAAACCGGATGGACCACTACCAATAATTGCAATACGTTTACCAGTGGGCATACGATTCTCATCAGGAATAGGATGTAACCAGCCATTTTCCCAGGCTTTGTCTGCAATAGTACCTTCGATATGCTTTATAGTCACTGGATCAGAGTTTATACCAAGTACACAAGCTCCTTCACAAGGTGCTGGGCATACACGACCTGTGAACTCAGGGAAATTATTGGTTTGTGCTAAAGCAATATGAGCAGCGTGCCAATCACCCTGTATATAGAAAAATCGTAAGAGGAAACGTTTATTTTAACTCAACTAAATTTATGAAACCGAAAAAATGAAAATCGTTATTAAAAACATTAATCAAATGAAAGAACAACATGACTTGAAACCAATAAACTGATTAAAATCCTACAAACTAAGCTCAGATATATTTATGTTTTTTAAACTCACATCCCTGTTCGTTTAATAGAGCATTCAATTTTCAACCATATGATTTTAGGTTTGAAATACACATCTTCCTCCCTTTTAGAAAGTTGGGATTAAAAATAACCAAGATACCTTAAGTGCGGCTCAAAGCCGAATCCATGTACCTATAATATTGATAAACACAAGCCTTCTGGATAAGGGACTTGTAATAGAATCCTCAAGTACCCAATTATTGCACGATTCCTAATTTTCACTAGCTTCAATATACGTTTAAATCATCATCTTCAGAAAAACACGAGATATTCATGAATGATGTTTACCGTATGTGTCTCTATTAGAAGTTGTGCAACCAGTCACTTTAGACATTTACGGTAACATGAAGTGTAAGCTGTACACACCAGTGTAGATAATTTCTAAAACAGCAAACAAAGAAAGTGTTGGGGTGATCCAGAAAACTTCTCGCAAAAGACGAGAAAGGTTCAGGAAACACTAAGAAGCATTTTATCCAATCAGTATTCACTAGACGTTTAGCCAGAAACATCAAGAAAGTGAAGTCACATGTAGAGTTTCTGATTAGCTGAATACTATACTGCTACTATGTTTAGTATCATCCCAGAATTTTCGGGAATCCCAGGGACATCTAAAATACCATAAAATCCCTAAATTTTCCGTACGAACCTTCTCGCATATTTTGCGCTTTTTTTCTCGTGTTCAGGTCGCTGCGTAGTTCTAGATCGGGGGTTACGAGAATAGCTTAGGAACCGAATATAGCGTTCAATTAGCAAGACTTATCAGAAAGTATCTCACAGCTGATCTATACAAATAACTGAAACAGATAGGAGTGGAAATTTTCAACAAGGGATAAGAAATATGTGCATGCAAAATTTGTTTCGTCAATGAGATAGGGTCCAGTCTTATTAGAAGTCTACAGTTATATCATCAAGATCAGTTTTTATGTAAGTAATGGAGTTGAAATAATGAAAATTAGGATCAATTAGCTTTGTACAACATAGAACCTGGTATACATGGGCAGCGGTTCTAGTTCCCAGTTCAGGAGACTATATTTTATTAGCCTTTTGACCAAACATGATTATGTCATCTGTGTATTTTAAGTCAGCAAGTGAATCTCCTGGTAGAAGATCAACCCATAAAAAGTCAGATGATAGTGTTTCTGAAAGGATATTTGTGGTAAAGTTAAATGAAAAACGAGAAAGTGTACAACCCTGTTGAGGTTGACAACTTCAATGACAGTACTCCATAAACTTTGACTCGATCATTATTGCTGTAGTAGAAAGCTAGTACAAGGTTAATATCCTTCTTTGGTACGCCTCCTAATAGCAGGCACTGCTACAGAACCTCTTGATCACCCAAGTCAATGTGACCTTGGGGCCAGGGAATACAATTGCAGTCCAATATTGTAAGGCATGTCTACGTGACAGAACCTGACGAGGGGGAAGAATTTGTTCTAAGCATTCACATCTGGGTCTAAAACCTGTCTGGCTTTCTTGGGTTCGCCCTTCACGAGCCCTTGTTAAGCATCGGATTATTATTGAGAATAATATTTTAGACAATACACTAGTCAAACTGATAGGATAATTTTTATCGATGCCGATTAATTTCGCCAAGGCGTTACATTGTTGGTACACTGGTTTATATAAAATGTGAAGTGTTGTAAATTTTACAGAAAACATTTTCATTTATAATGCTAAGCCCTTGTATGGCCAAAAGCTCTTTACATGAAGCTAATATGACTCAAGGACAGGATATTTATGTGGTAGAGAAATTATCCGAATGATGATTCTATTATCAAGTATAGAGATAAATTTATTTATAGGCTATTTAACAAACCTTAAATACTAAATCATTCCAGTTTGGAATAAGATTGCCAAGAGGACACCCGACATATGATTGACAAAATGGCACGCCACAATCCATACAGCGAGCAGCCTGTTTGACCAAACCCTCGCGTATTTGTTTTAAAGCGTAGACTTCTTCCCAGTCTTTCAGACGTTCTTCAACTGGACGATAATTTTGCTTCTGTCTGGCATATTTGACGAAGCCGCGCACTTTATCCAGTTTCTCTGCTGGCTCATCACCAATTACATCTTCAATATCTTTAGTTTGTTTCTGCTAATGAAAGAAATTAATGAGCTAGAGAAAGCAGCACAATTCTCATGTACATAAGATATACACAAAGTGGATATAAAACTAAAATGTAACACATAAATTTACAATTTTTAATAACTTACACAAAATTTCATACACCAGAATTTGATCTAAAGGTGTCAGTTACAAAATCATTAAATTACATTGATTATTAATCAAAACTTTAATAACTGAATCATATTTCGAAAAGAGAACTTACAAATCCTTATTTCTTAATTCAGTCGTTTTGATTGTTCCCATCATCACCCTTGTTTGACAGGAGAATAAAACGACCAGAATTTGCATTCTCTTAAGAATAATTAATCTAATGTATGTACAAAATATAAGCTATTTAAGAGTATGATTCAAGAGATTTATCTGGATTTTATCTCTACAGAGAGACCAACATGACAAATTTAAAATGGTGTTACGCATCTTCAGAAATCTTGAAGTTTATGATTGTTAGTTAGAAACATGTATAATGAAACTTGCTATCATGATGCACTTGTAATTAATTGTATTTAGATTGTTGCATCATAGTAATAAGAAATAATGCATGGAAGTTATTTATATCTAAGACTGAATCTTATATTTATCTGACACTCAATTACTTTTCAAAACAACACAAAACTTGAAAAACTTAGCAATTATGAAGACGTTTTAAGTTAATATTATCTAAATAATATGCCAAACTCTACATAGAAAAAAATTATAAGTGAAAGGTTTTTTTACTCCATGACCACTAACTTTGTTACTATCAACAATAGGACTAGTTTTTTGCACCTTGGGATCAGTAACAGTTGTGGAAGTTTTAAGTTTGGCCAATGCATTTCTATAATCACGTGGAAATACAAGTACAAAATGATTGATGGATTTATTCCAGTCTGCCAAAATATTTGCTCCGACCTATAAATGTATAACAAAAAGAACACTGTAGAACTTCGTATACTGCAATAATTGATAACCGATGCTAAAATTCTAAAGTAAACCTTCTGACGCTTTATAGCAAGAAAAGATCAGTAGTGATGCTTATATTCATGTTGGTACTTAATATAATTAGCTTGAAGGACTAATGAAATGAGAAATATGAAAGTGAATTAATGGATTCAAAAATAATTTTATCAAACAGCAATCAGATCTGATGGTTCGAACATCTAATCTGAAACAATTATCATATAAATAAGAATAAAGTGAAATTTTTAATGCTGAATTATTGGGTATACATGAAACTTTTCAATCATTATTAGTTCATTGATAACAAAAAGGTATGCTTTATATGTATCATAGCAGATATTTTATCGTTATCTATTTTTACATTCAAAAGATAAGATTATTATTTATGTAATTGAAGTTGGTAAGGGGAACTGACGGTTCATTAACAAGCACTTTAGGTCCGCTTAAAATTTAAAAACATTGGTATGAAATCATGTGTTCGAACTCAATTAACACATCATATTTTTAGTGTTAGTGAAACCCAATCAAATGTGCCATACTACCTTCTAATATCATTCAAGTTGACCATTACTTCTAGAAATGTTTCTACAAGACTAACAGATGTATGTCAGCGGCATACGAGGGTAATTCGCAGCGTATTAATAATCGAATTGTAAATAATGAAATTAAGATGAAAATGAATTACAGGTCTACAGCTAACAGGTTTGTTCTTCAGACTGATACCGTTAAATTCTTAACATACAAAATTTTGATCCGATTTTCCATTCTTTTTCGTTATCTTTTTGATCCAACCAAAAGTAATCTGGACAGTAATTTAGCTAACAAATAAGCATAAAGCACAATCCATTTCGCTAACCTCTAAAGATCGATTCAGTTTGTCTAGTCACCTACTTTATCTACATTGCATCTCATACTTAACTAAGACGTAAAATCTGTGAAAACAAGTTTTGCTATGTATGATAAATACAAACACTGTTGAACAATTAATGGTCCACCATCTGAAATTGAAAATTTCCATATACAATTATTCTTCATAGGTAGATTGTTTTATTTTAAAAAGTTTTCTCGTTATTATTTAGCAAGTACGCTAGGTTTTAGATCGAATGAATGAAAATTTTAGACATATGATATACTTAGGCGCTTGATGTAAAACTGAAAAGGTTAAGTACAGTCATGAATAGTGAACTTTGAAAATAGCACATTACGAAGTACATTTGGGTGTTTTATGTTATTTGATTGACAGTTGTGTTGATATTCACTTAATAGTAAAAAATGTTTTTACGAATTTAGAAAATTATATTACATAAAATACATTCAAAGCAATTTACAAGTGAAAATTTAGAAGTTTCTACTGAAAAATATATGATCATTCAGCATATGACTGATACTTTTGTCACTCAAATTCATAGGAGATTAAAGCAATCAGAATCGTTCGAAATACAATAAGTGATAATCGACAATTGTTTTCTGCTGCTTCATGTTTCGTAAAGGAAGGCAGTAATGTCAATTGGGACAGTAATCTTTAAATTAATCAGTTTGTGGGGGCTGGTACTATATCAAGCCCACATAGGCTATTCTAGCTTCAGGACAGACCAATCTATTCATTCTTCTCAAGCCATATTATGACCCTGCCACTTATTCGCTTATTAACTCTGTATTTATATGATCGCATGTGAGTTAATTACTCACCTTATTCACTACATGTCTGTAACTTATTTTTATCTGAATATTAATATTGAGTCACACTTGATCAAAACGAGTTGGCTCACTCGCCATCTCTGTTTCGCGTCGCCTTGTTTAGTTTCGCTTCCTTAGCTTCGTTTCTCTAATTTTCTGTTCGAATTAATGAGTGTAGGAAATATACATATTCAAAATTCATTCTTGTATTAGGCTTATTTTATTCCGTTATTCGTCAACGCGAGTTAAGTCAGTAAAAATACACGAGGGTTGGTGGCATGCATATCTCGATAATAATAATAATAATAATAATAAGCATACGATTAAACTGGAGTCAGATATAGGGCCAATAAACGTTGTCCCAGTATACTTTTTTATTACGAGAAAATATGTATTAAGCGTTGAAATTAAAAGCTATTTCGATTAGAGTAAATATTAACTAGTTCAAACGAAGTTATTTGCTACGTAGAGAACACGTGGCGTTCATTTCTGAAACGTAACCAATTATAAAAACTAATAAATTTTTGGAAATATACATAATACTTAACTGCATCCAAGACATATATAGTATATATATTGTCACAAGCCTAATCCACCTAGGCAGAAGACGTGTTTGTCAAACGATGAACAAATATATATTTGCTTCTTTTTCAATTATTTCACTCTAGTTAATGGACAGAAATTCACGTGACACGTCACGATGCTGGAGGAAAAATACTTGGATGTAAGATGGGGGGAATGTAAACTAATTATAACCAAGGGAAAGATCACACAAATTGGTAATCTATGCTAAGGCATAATTTATTTTCGTGAATCTAATATCTTGTGCTTAATCTCTAGAGTTATAATTCATTTTTGTAGAGTCCAAGTAACTTATCAATGACAATCAATGTTTCAAACTTTTGGAGCTTCAACGTGTTTTCAAACAAAATGAAACAATTAATCTATCTTGTTCACTTCATGGACGATATCACATTGACTTAGCTGTTAAAATATCAATGATGACTGTCACAGGTGGATTTAAGCATCTTTGATCATTTAAGAGCCTTGTTAAACATATTAAGTCGTTCCTACGAATCAAAGTTTATTTTTATAGTTGTGTTTCATGTAAATGATAATATCAGTACAGTTCTTACTTTCCTAACTCCGCCTGTAGCTCTTATAGGGTTACTGCCGGTCCCAAGCCCGGGTAAAGGAGGAGGGTTGGGCATGGGGTTAACGTCCCCATGCCGTAGAAAACTAACTCGCTAAAAAACGCTTACCAGAAAAAATAATCCAAACCATTTAAACTCTGCCCTGGGAGTTAGAAGGTCTTCATTTAGAAGAATTATGACACTTCATGGTGAAAACCGAGTTCCTTCGGAAGCCACGAGGCCGATGCCCCTTCTAACAACCAGAGCAAAAATTTTTATAGGTACATGGAACGTTCGAACAATGTGGGAAACCGGGAAGACCAGTCAAATAGCAATGGAAATGAGGAGATACAACTTAGCAGTACTGGGAATCAGCGAAACTCACTGGACTCAAGCTGGTCAGAAAAGGCTAGCTACGGGAGAGATACTGCTATACTCCGGTCACGAAGAGGAAAATGCTCCACACACTCAGGGAGTCGCTCTTATGCTGTCCAAAGTAGCACGAAATGCACTTGTAGGATGGGAATCTCACGGATCCAGAATCATCAAAGCATCATTCAAAACAAAGAAGGAGGGGATCTTAATGAATATTATCCAATGTTATGCACCCACAAATGATAGCAACGACGACATTAAAGATCAGTTCTACGAGCGGCTGCAGTCAGTCATTGAGAAATGCCCAAGAAAGGACCTAACTATTCTGATGGGAGATCTAAATGCCAAAGTCGGAATAGACAACACTGGATATGAAGATATTATGGGACGACATGGACTGGGAGAAAGGAACGAAAATGGAGAAAGATTTGCAAATTTATGTGCATTCAACAAATTGATCATAGGAAGCACAATATTTCCACACAAGCGTATACACAAGGCTACATGGATCTCACCGGATCACACTACAGAGAACCAAATAGATCATATTTGCATCAAAAAAAAATCCCGAAGGACAATGGAAGATGTGAGAACCAGTAGAGGCGCTGACGTAGCTTCAGATCACCACCTAGTTGTGGCCAATTTAAAACTGAAGCTAAAAAAGAACTGGACAAGTGGACAAACAGCAATACAAAGGTTCACTACAGCCTTACAAGATCTACTGAAGGAAGAAGAAATTAGTATGGAGGACAACTGGAAAGGCATCAAGGAAGCATTAACTTCAACGTGTCAAGAGCTTCTGGGTCTAAAGAAATACCATCATAAGGAATGGATCTCTACAGAAACACTGGACAAGATCAAAGAAAGAAAGAACAAGAAAGCAGCAATAAACAACAGCCGAACACGAGCAGAGAAAGTCCAAGCACAAGCTGAATACATAGAAGCAAACAAACAAGTGAAGAGGAGCATTAGAGCTGACAAGAAGAAATACGTGGAAGAACTAGCAATGACGGCAGAAAAAGCTGCAAGAGAAGGAAATATGAAACAGCTTCACGATACAACGAAGAAACTAGCAGGGCAATACAGTAAACCAGGGGGACCGGTCAAAGACAAAGAAGGCAAGCCAATCACTGAAATTCAACAACAGCGGAACAGATGGGTAGAATACTTCGAGGAACTCCTGAATAGGCCGACTCCAATGAATCCACCGGACATCGAAGCCGCACACACAGATCTTCCCATAGACGTCAACCCATCAACGAAGGAAGAAATCAGAATGGCCGTCAGACAAATCAAGAACGGGAAAGCAGCGGGTCCGGACAACATACCAGCTGAAGCACTGAAGTTAGACATCGAAGCAACTACAAACATGCTTTACCTTCTATTCAAAAAGATTTGGGAGGAGGAACAAGTGCCGATGGACTGGAAAGAAGGGCACCTCGTCAAGATTCCAAAGAAAGGAGATCTGAGCAAATGTGAAAACTATAGAGGCATTACACTGTTGTCAATACCAGGGAAAGTCTTCAACAGAGTGTTGCTGAACCGGATGAAAGATGCAGTAGACGCCCAACTTCGAGATCAACAAGCTGAATTCCGTAAGGATCGATCATGCACAGACCAAATTGCAACACTACGGATCATCGTCGAACAATCAGTTGAGTGGAACTCATCACTATACATCAACTTCATTGATTATGAAAAAGCATTCGACAGTGTAAATAGGAGGACATTATGGAAACTTCTTCGACACTACAGAGTTCCTGAGAAGATTGTCAACATTATCCGGAACTCATACGACGGACTACAGTGCAAAGTCGTGCATGGAGGACAGCTGACAGATGCATTCCAAGTAAGGACCGGAGTCAGACAAGGCTGTTTACTCTCTCCCTTCCTCTTTCTTCTGGTGGTCGACTGGATTATGAAGACCTCGACATCTGAAGGAAAACACGGAATACAATGGACAACTCGAAATCAATTAGACGATTTGGACTTCGCAAATGACCTAGCCCTCCTATCACATACACACGAACAGATGCAGATGAAGACAGCCAGTGTAGCAGCAGTCTCTGCATCAGTAGGCCTCAGCATACACAAAGGGAAAACCAAAGTCCTCAAATTCAAAGCGGAAAACAACAATCCAATCACTCTTGATGGCGAAACTCTGGAAAATGTAGTCCTTCACATACCTAGGAAGCATCATCGATGAACAAGGAGGTTCAGATGCAGACGTAAAGGCAAGGATTGGCAAAGCAAGGACAGCATTCCTACAGTTAAAGAACATATGGAACTCAAAACAACTTTCAACCAATATCAAAGTGAGAATCTTCAATACGAACGTCAAGGCAGTTCTACTGTATGGAGCTGAAACTTGGAGAACTACAACAACCACCATCAAAATGGTACAAGTATTTATAAATAGCTGTCTACGCAAGATGCTCAACATCCATTGGCCGGACACCATCAGCAATAGCCTTCTGTGGGAGAGAGCAAACCAACTTCCAGCTGAAGAAGAAATTAGGAAAAGACGATGGAAATGGATAGGACATACATTACGCAAATCGTCAAACTGCATCACAAGGCAAGCCCTAACTTGGAATCCTGAAGGGAAGCGAAAAAGAGGAAGGCCAAAGAACACATTGCGTCGGATAATAGAAGCAGATATGAAAACGATGAATTAAAACTGGACGGAGCTAGAAAGGATTGCCCAGGACAGGGTTGGATGGAGGATGTTAGTGAGTGGCCTATGTTCCTTGACGAGGAGTAATAGGCGTAAGTAAGTAAGTAAGTCTTACTTTCCTATAAGAAGCCAACAAAGAGGTACTATTGGTACTTCATTCTTTATAATATTAAAAATTCTCGTCATAAATCTTTCTTGAGTCATGAATTAAATATGTTGAAGTTCTGAAGTAAGCAGCAAAAGATATAAACATGTGAGTATACGAGGTAATTGATGAAAAAATGAGGGGCTGTTTGTCATTTCATTTCATTATCTATTCTAAACATTCTAAGTTATCAACTTGATTTATCTTTTGTGCGGTACTTAAAAAAAACAACAATTAGACATAAACAGTTCACATTATACGTGCAGTAATCTTGTTTATAAAACACATGCAGAAGTTTTACTTGTGAATCGGTTTCTTTTACAAATTCAACCAATATTTCTTTAAGCCAACCACTGTATGTATTCTGTGAATCCATCAACTCCAAATCGATTAATTCCATATTGCACTTTTTTACAAAATCTCCGTTCAACCCAAGTGGGTCATAAACAAAGGCTAGACCACCTGACATACCAGCAGCAAAATTACGTCCAGTACGTCCAAGTATAACAGCACGGCCTCCAGTCATATATTCACAACCGTGATCACCAACACCTGTTCGACCAAAAATGTTTTTTGCAAATTAATGTTAATCAAATGACTAATAACATAATAATAATACTTGCCTTTATTGAATAGCAATTCTAAATTGTTAGAATATATCGCTAACGCACAAGCTCTTTATAGGAATTCTTCATCTAAAGATATGTAGTCTAAACAATGAGCAGGTCAGTCAGTGACAAATGGTGGATGGAAAATGACCAGTGTAAAAATGCGTTTCTCTTAGGGTTACTTTAAAAGTTTGGATGATACCACTGGTGGAGTCCCAAGCAATGAAGAATCCCTTTTCCTCCAGCAATAGAAATAAAACCTCTTGACAGGCACCAGTAACTGAATATCCATTAGTAAATTGATTATGAAAGAAATTTCAGTGAGATGAAGTCATTAGGAGTAACGAATTTCTCAATATAACAAAAAATTTTCACACCTAGGATAGATGTTGATAAAGTTTGTCCAATGTAGAAGAGAACCAAGTTAAAAGATCTTCACTTTGTTAGATTTGAAGTACATTAACTTTGTGCCCCTCAAAATACTTCTCATTTTTTGTCAAAGGACAAAACTCATCTTCGTTTTCATTGTCTGACACACCCGTGGAAGTTTTCAGAAATCAGGCTTCTCAGTAGCCTTGTAGTTCCATGGTTTACCGTTTATTCATTGTCCCACTTTAGCTACATCATGATCACTTTTAATTTTGAAAGCGAAATGGCAAAAGACACAAGGTAAATTGACCATTGAGGGTAATCTAGAGAGGTAACAACATTACAGGCTAGAAACCGGTAGAGTCACTGCTGAATATGAAAGAATACAATTAGTTATTATGCAGTCATTTATAGTATCAAAGATATGGTCACACATGACAAACCACTAAGATTAAAGAGATGTAAGTTCAACTGTAAGTCAAATGTTCACAAAAGGATATTTTCTACTGATGTATGGCTAGTAAACGAAAGACGTGATTGATCACTGAGTATGGGAAGACAGACTGACTACTTAATATGTAATTTCCCACTTGTAACTGTATTGGACAAAGTATTGTCCAATTTATATGCTGGTCCCTTATTTTCGGTCGTGAATCTTGTGCCTGATGTAATATGATCCAGTATGTGTATAGCGTATAGATTGACTACCTAGTCTAGTGGTAGTAAAATTCCGATCGCCAGTAGTATCGTCGTATTATATTAGTATATCGTGGTAAACAGAAAATAATTTTATTTTACCGTTATATCACTTTTCTATGTGCGTACCAATATCCAGTGGCAACAACTTCCCATGATCTTCAAGTATTTTAAAGTGGATTGAGTAAGCATCCTATACTGTTTTACCATCTGCCTTACTCTGTTACTATGTTCTCGCTCTTAATTTTCTAATTAAATACGCTTTAGCTACTTGTATAAAAATTATGAAATACGTCAGCATATTGTAAAAACAGCTGAAATGTACTTAAGTCAATGGAAAATGACTGAAACTTGTGTTTTCGAGAAAGCTAAAAAGTTTTTTTTTATATAATGTTAGAAATTGACCTGAGCAAAACTCCAAATAAAAGTTAGGAGCTAGTATTTTCAAATAATATTTTATTTTAGTTTACTTGGGTATCTTTGGTGTTTTAATTTACACTGAAACTCAGACCCATAAGAGTTAGAAATCATAAACAGAACTGTCAGTAAAAATTAACATCTTGGAAACGCCTTTTAAAATCAGTTCTTGAATGATTAAATAATTGGTGAACTTACCCTCAACAACAACAGTAGCTCCGGAATTGCGTACGCAGAATCGTTCAGCTGCTTGTCCCCTTAAAAAGAGACATCCTTCTATGGCACCATATAAGCAAACATTACCAACAATTAAATTATCTTCTGATTTAAATCCTTCTTCTAATAACTCTTTGGGTGGAACGATTGTAATCTTTCCACCTGATAAACCTTTCCCGACATAATCATTTCCATCACCTTCCAGGCGAATATGAACGCCATGAGCAAGGAAAGCTCCTAAACTCTGACCTGCACTGCCACTAACATTTACCTAGATTCATTTGGATGAAAAGACAAAGGTTATTAGAATTATCGCGTTATTCAAATTTGTCAAAGGGACTAATTGTTTTAAATTTCTAGATTCATTTGTTGAAAATATATGACGTCACTTAAACATTGTGAAATCCGATTTAGTGAAAACTTAGCGATTGGGTATAATTAGCACTATTTTCAAATTATACGGTGTCTACAACATTTCATAATAACATATATACAAGATGGGAATATATTCACTCATAAGCACAAGTTCCGTGAGATTGGTGAGGGAGCTTTACCAGTAGTTTTGTGAGATACTTTCCACTAAAATGGTGGGCATTTGGTTCGGTACTCAAATGATCAAACATGACTAATTTTATGAGTGATCGTTCGTATTTTCTATAGTGGACTTTTTCAAGGGTTTTAGCTTAACTGTCGTCCGCTCATTCATTTACTTGATATCGTTTAAACTTTATTTATCAGATATCCTCATCGCCAATTCTTCTTTACCATACGCCATGTGATATACTCATAAATCTGAATACCAGTACATTTGTTTATAATTAGCATTAATTGTTAGTTATGAACAACCAGAGATTTCTTACTAATATGTTCAAACTGTTGATCGACCAAGAGAATGGAGATTGATATGATGTGTACCACAAAAGTGAAAATAATAATATTATGGTTAACCTCATAGTAAACACGGATCGGCAGGCGTGAATGAAACATAATTGTGTAAAATTCTGAATAAAACGTTGGTATTGACTTCCAGTATAACTTTAAAATGTAACTAAGTTAATACTTGACTGTGGTTGTGCTTTTTGATAATAGATTATTTTCTGAAAATGTAAATAACCTATTCTGTAACTGTATGGTGATATAGAAATGCTGATAAATTGGTAAAGTTTCTTTTGATAGATATCCTTAACACAGATGTTCCACCAGTAACATTGACACAACCTTCACCTTTATCCAGAACAATTATATAATAAATTCAAATTATATTAGTGATTTATACCATTACAATGACTTACCATAATCCGTCTATTATGTGGTAATCCTTTTTCAGCAAAACTGGTTGAAATGGCATAACTTAGTGTAGTGCCAACTGTGCGATCAGAATTACTAATTGATTCGGTCACATATACTACTGATTCAGAAGGACTGAGTTTCACATTTTCTGGAGTATCTATTAATTTATGAGCAGCGCGTAATATTATTATATCTAAACGACGGTCAGCTGGCAAGAGATCGGCAAATGACAATGTTGTTGGATTTTCACGGAAATCTTTCACTGAATCACTTTGTCTTAATGAACCATAATGCACTTCATCTGGTTCCATTTTAATCATTAAACGACTCATGTCAAGCAGTTGAGATTTTGCAGTTAAACAAGGTTTTCTATGCTGTATTCAGAAATGGAGAACAAAGGTTTGGGTTTACTCGGTTGAAAAAAAGTGGTCTAACTTCAGTTGACTCATGATTTCAATCAAAAACTTAACAATCTCCACGATAACTAAACTGATGAAAGTATTCTTGTTGAAATAAGCATCAAGCTGTCCTACCAGTCAGTTATCGTGCATGTATACAAATCGGTGTACAAATTTAGAATTTATTCAACTTAAGATTCTCTATAAACGAGTTTATTTTTAAAACGATACATTATTTTGTGGCTGAGTAGTGTCTATACAGATCCTTCAATTTCTTATCATTATTAGTACCATAGAAAGGTTTATCGACTTCGAATTCTTGATTATAGATCATGGTACAAGAACTTCATTTCAACTTCTAGATCAATTATTCTCACCTTGTAACTAATAGCTTCCATATATATATTCGTTTAAAGATCCTCATCGCATTAACCATTTTATTATATTTTGTTTGACAATCCTAAATTCACACGCCATAAACGATGCACTTTACCCTTAACCTGGCCATTTTTCGGATTATTAATTTAGATATATAATTCTAGAACCTGAAGAGAATTTATCGAAAAGAATATTCATCGTTCAAATATACATATTCATTCATTACGGATAGACATAGTTGCAAATTTCCGCACCATAGAGCTCTAGACGACAAGCTAAAATATCTACCAATATTTTGATATATTCAAGTCCTTGATTTTTAGGGTGAACGTTGCTTCAGAAAGCGATTATTGCAGCATCAAGATTTTGGACTACACTAATCAAAGGCTCTAAGTCTGATGACAGAAACTATAGTTTTTAGTTATTTTTTCAATCAATCAACTAAAGCCTGTCTTCCTAAGGCTAATTTCAAATAAATATATTATTGTTGTGTAAAATAGTGACTATCAATTAGGTAGAATTGTGGAGACTGTAGTTACACGTTCTTATCAATTGAAAAATCTTCGACTCTGACAATCATTGATTTTGTTTTATTTACAGCTGGAATAGATTATAACTCATTTACTTCTCTCTTTTATTACTTGTGTATTTAGTGACTACACATCCTTGTTTCAGCCAGTTCACTAAGGTTACCAAGGTCTTGCTTTTAGTAGTTATTGGTTATGAGATGTGGTAAATTCGCTACTTAAAATATGTTGATTTAATGTTTAAAGTGATTTGGAAGTTTATCATTGTCGTTAACTGCATTTTTACAAAAATCACTTTTGTAGTTTAAGGCGTGATATTTGATATCATTTGTTTGGTTATGGCGAAACACGAATAACTCACTACGCGGCTTTTAATTCCAGAATCTATATTATAAAACCTACCAGTTAGACACTATAATGCAACTATGGCTCTAAGTGGCTTTAAACTAGGATAATGATTACTTTAAAATAAATACAGTTTATCATATAAATAGCGTTTGTTCTGAGATTCTCATTATTCTTCGAAGGAACAACCATTTTGAACAGTGAAATAGAGTTAACCAATATAATGGCAACGCTCAGCATTCACATAATATGTCAGGGCGATTCTAATTCTTAAAAACATTCAAAAAGAATATTAAAACACATATGGTTAATTTACCTTTAGATATTCTGTACGTCCAACAATTTCTTTCAATGAAGATACACCTAAACGACTTAAGTATTGTCTAACTTCCTCAGCCAAAAGAAATAGGTAGTTGATGACATGTTCTGGGCTACCAGCGAATTTCTTTCGTAGAACTGGGTCTTGTGTGGCTATTCCCACTGGACAAGTATTCAAATGACATTTACGCATCATTGTACAACCTAATACAATAAGTGGTGCAGTTGACATTGCGAATTCATCAGCTCCCAGAATGCATGCTATGACCACGTCTCGTCCTAGAGTGAAATATCGAACAAGGGATACAAATAATAATATTCATCTCATAACACAATATATCTAGTAAGTAGTAAATGAAAATCAAAATTGATACATTAGGTCGCAGATGGAGTTAAATCGATGATTTGTTGATGCCAAATCTAATTTCTTTAACTAATTGGTCAGCAAAACTATATTAGCAAACCAATTTTTGATTTAATGATATTGTTTCTTGTCTGTAATTGGTACAAAAACTGTTTACGACCCTGATACGGCCGAGGATGAGGAGAGATAGCTCTCCCTCTCGAAATACCCTCACATGATCTCGCGTATACAACCACTGTCAGGGAAGTCCTACTCACTGCCTTCTCGTGACAGGAGTGTTGTTTACGAAATTGAAAGGACAAAAAACGAATGACCCACTCTTTAACCGGGTTGGTGGACACGGAAGATCCACTTATAGGAGTTGGGAAACACTGATTCAAAACCAATGGTGTACATGGGCTCCAGTATCCTGAGGGAACAAATGGTGTATGAACCAATTATTGGTCACCGGCTACCATGGGACTGAATCTCCTGACGTTGCTCCAATGCCTTTTCGATCAGACTTTTAGGTCAAAGGCTCGGGTTGTGGCCCCCTAAGAAAACCACCTGCTTCGGTCTGGGCACCCGGGTAGTATCACAGTCCACGCACAAATAAAATGACTTATATGGTGCATATGTATTCGGTGTCCCTTTGTACCAATATTTATGTGTTTAAATAAACAAATAAACACTAGTATCTGGAAGGATAATATCTAGTCGATTAATAATTAAGCTATTTGAAATTGAATTTTAAGGGGAAATATATGATGTTGCAGGTCAATTGTTCAAATCCAATTTTGGATTAGACTACTTCAGATGATGGTGGCAACAATTTACTTGTGAAATATTTGGATGTAGGAAGATCTATAATGTTAAGATAATCCAGTTGTCTGGTAGGTTTTAATATTTGTCCTAAATGTAATTAATTTGAAGCATTGAAATAAAAACAAAGCAATAAGCAGTTTAATTTAGTGGTGAAACTTTATGGTTGATTAAATTCAGCTACCCATGACACTGTCAGATCATTTACGTTAACCACTTAACCTAAGTATTTAATCATTGGTATTTAAATCATTATTAATACGCTTGACCAGTTTGATTTTAATAAGCCAACCTAAATAGGTTAAATAAATGTTCTGTCCAATAATATTGGATTACCACATTCAGAAACTAACAGAAATCAGATTTCCCATAAACTGCTTAAGTAATCAACGAAGCTACAGGCAAACTTGTTGAAGACTAATTGTGTTAGAAATTTGTGAACAGTATACGCCTCATTATATTAAAACATCTCGGTTATAAAAGATTGTTCACTATTCCTACCTGTGCGTATTTGTCCATCAACCTGTAGTTTAACTCGTGAACGTGCCTGTTGACTGGTTAGGGATTGATGGGTCTCAGCAATACCCAATTCCCATGGAAGTCCAGCATGTTTGATTCCTGTCCAACTACTAGCACCAGTACCACCATCATGACCAGAAATTGTTATATGTGCTGCGCGAGCCTAAAAAGTAATTTAACGTGAAATATGCGCCAATAATAAAAAAGTTAATATTTTCTAAGTTTTTGAAAGTGGTATTATTTCCTGATCATGTTTTTTTAGCAATATGATGATAATAAAGCAAAAAGGTAGTCTGTCAGGTGTAACGAAGTCAATGGATCAAGTATGGTCTTGTCGTAAGTTTACAGTTTTCACCATAACTGTGAATAGAAATAGCTTAATGGTGTAAACTATAAGATGTCTATTATTTTAACATTCTTTTAGAATATTGTTAATCCACTCGACCAATAAATAAAAGTATTTTCGTTAAATTTTGGCTTATCGGTCAACCTCGTTTTTTTTCACATACTTTAAATCAGTAAAAGTACTAATTAAAGTGTTATTCAACAAGAAGTAAGTCTGGCCAGTTTGTTTGAAACTCTGTCATAGTTTGGATGAAGGCTGGACAGTAATTGTGTTGTAAACAAAACAGATAATATAATATTATTATTATAAACCATCCATTATAATACCTGTCCCTAACAATGAGAATAGATGGTAGTTAATTCCTTTTATTTTTAGGAATAATAATAAAAAGCTAATTGCTTACCTTTGCCACACCAGCAGCAACGATACCGACTCCAATTTCAGATACCAGTTTAACACTAACCACAGCAAATGGATTGGCTGCTTTCAAGTCATAAATGAGCTGGATTCAACCAGTGTTTGGAAAATAAAAGTGGTGCAAAAATTCAATATTCAGGTATAGAAAAATAAATATTATCTTAGTATTGGTTAAAGTTTATACAACTTAATTTGAAGTATAACGTGTGTACAACATCTCAATTGATTATTGAATATTCAGTCGCCTTTTGATTCCACAGTGAAAACAGAACTCTTCTTAATTCTTGTTACAGATTTCGTCATCGAAGCAATGGGTTAGATTACCTTCTAAAACCTATAGATTTTGCTATATGTTGTGATCTTTGTTCAGATCCGTTGAAAAATATGTAGGGCTTATTCTGTCAAAGTGACTCAGTGTACATGTTAAAGATCTCCATCATTTTTCAATATTTAAATATAGTATACCATAGGAATTAAACCTCTACTACTGACTAAAAATCATGATAAATTTTCAAGTCCATAAATTGGCTTCAAAACATGAAATCTTCAGCTTAACTGAACCACAATGCTGTTCGAAGAATAAACCTTCACTTTAATAGTTAGTGAAAGTGACCTTATTTTTATCAACATTAAACATCACCAGATACTGTACAAGTGTATTCAATGATCTAGGTTATGATTGAAATAAATTGCAACAGCCATTTATTAATCTTTTTGATAAAAGTCTACTTTCAAAAATTATAGATGGAAACCTCCTTATTGTTTATGCAAGTATATTTTGAGTAATTTAATCAATTTTCTATTTTACAAGAATTTGGGTGAAATGTATCATTTGTATTAAAGCAAAGGTATGTTTTTTGTTCAAAGTTCTTATTCGTCGCTTTCTACATTCATTCTTTATAGCTGGAGTTAATAAGTAAAGAATATTTATGACTAACTAAAACAAAGAAACAGTATGAAACGTATATTGTAAACAGGGAAATATTCTCTGATATTAATGTCAAGAGACAGTGTGAATTGAAGAAAAATTCCAGCAGTATTATTTGGTAATTCTCTCATAATGAAGCCCCACTAATTTGTTTCCGAACACTTAATCAGTAAGTAATAGTGGTAGCCTGTCTTTATAAACTGTTAATTTACATAAAATGAAAGATCTTGCTATTGTTTATTGAGATTGGGACCTTCATAAGTCCATCATATAGCATTTTCTGAAATGAGAAAATAATTTGGATTCCTGATACATTTAAAAAATCGACTATTATAGTATCAAACATGAATAAAACAAGTGTGAAACTTCACAAGTAGTTCATATGTTGAAGTTACCTTTAGTGTGTTGCCTGATCATTAAAATGTAATACAGGAAAACCTGTTTATATAAGTAAACGTTTACTTATTTTAACTTTGACTGAGTATGTAATAATGTATCTTAAAATTTCCCCCGTAAAAATTTGGTCATTCTTGTAACATCATATTTTGCAAAGATGTAACTGCATTATTTCAAGTTTACTTAAAGTGGGACATACTAAGTGTTATCTATTCCAAATGGATTGAAAATTAAATAAACAAGAAAAATATCAAGCTAAAACTAATAGAAATTGTATGTGCAAGTGGATAAGTTCAGAGTGAAATGGTGACTCCATTACTTTTCAAAGCTCATTGTCAATCATTCTGGCTTTTTGTAAACGCCCACTCAACAACTAGTCTGCAAAATAGGATATTTCTTTTATAGATATTTTGGGACTAATTGATCATTATTTTTCTTCGTTCTGTAACAGAATGAAGCCGCTCAGGAATTCTACTGAACATTTAGTAATCTTTAGTAAAATTCTTTAGGTAATTGATTGTATTTTGGGCTCAAAAATGTTGCGTAATATGTAGGTGTCATATTTTTAAATACTTTATTGTCATTGACTATTTCATTGCTGAATAATTTATGCTTGCTACTAACTATCGACAAGTAATATGATCATTCTGAATTAACATCTTCAGATATCTCAAGAAAAATGTGTTAAATGTAGTTCAAACGGATAACTACATACGAAAAATTACCTGAGCTAAATCTTCTATGGAATAAATGTCATGATGTGGTGGTGGACTGATCAAACCCACACCAGGCACTGAATAACGTGTATTGGCGATCTCCTCGGTAACTTTATAACCTGGTAATTCACCACCTTCACCAGGTTTAGCACCTTGAGCCATCTTTATTTGCAGCATTTCAGCATGGGCTAGGTATGAACTATTCACACCGAAACGTCCTGAAGCAACCTGCGATTAAATTATGAATAGAAATGTTAAAACCGTAAATCTGCATTTATTTTCATTGTCATCAGTGCTTATAAGTGGTTTTGTGTCAAACCAACTCGGTATATCATGATAAATACACCTAGATGCTATCACTGGTTCATTTCGGTATTGGAAATTTAATACTGTAAGCCATGACTTTATTCCGCTGATTCTCCTCAAGGGTGATTTAATCATCAGATTAACAACAGATGGTTTTCTTTTAATCAACAAAATACTTTTTATTTGTTTATCCAGTTTTAGGGACACTTTCTAGTCTGATACTACACGTTAAACGTAGAAAATCTATACTTTCTGTCTCACAATGCATTCAAAATCTGGCCTACCATACCTGTATGGATACATGGATAAAAATTCTTTTAAAAATCTATTTGCTTTGAGATTATGTTCAAAAAGTGTTTTCGAGTAACAAGATTAGTCTACAAGTTATTAATGTATGTAGAAGCCCAATGCTATCTACGGACGTGGATTAACTTCAAACTTGTCACATAATCGACGCTATTGTTTAGCAGTAGTATTGCGTAATATCAATATTACCTGTTCCAAGTATGAGGTATTTTGAACTAGCTACATGTACTTTTAGTGGCGTTCAGATAGAAATGGTTTGAGTTCTATTAAACCTCACTAATTAAATAACTGTAGTGGTTGGTAGTCATGGTATTATATAACTGCGAATTATGTTATATTCAATATGATAGTAAAAAATTACAAAATTATTTTGTGACGCAAAACGCCAGAAAAACATTTTTTTGTAATTATATGTAAATAAGTTGTCAGTATTTATTAGTTCATTTAAATAACGTTTCTTTTTTAGTTCAGAATATGATATAAACCAGAAAAGAATAATACATTATAGCATAAATTATTTATTCCTCCTTAGTGTACTCTTAGTGTTCGTGTTGTATTTGTTATCGATCTGAACATAACTATGGCAACCATGGCCAAAATGGTTGGTTGACTGAGAGAATAAACTAGACGCTGACTTATGTCTTTTTGTATGTTTCGCATTTGTCTAAAGTTTATTCTCTGATATAATTTAAAAAAAGTGTCCAATCAGTTGTAATTTACATATTTCACTAATTTTCGTTGAGACATTTGATGTACTTATATACTGAAGTAATCATGACTGCTTTTACTATGCTGTTAGTTGCTAGAGCCTAATCAAGTAGCAACAAGGGAATACAGAATTATTAAATTTGATTCTGAACTTAGCCTCCTGTAAGAATTGTTTACCAGGTAGTACTTAGTATCTAACTCAAGTCTGTAATGATTATTGCAATGCTGAGATCAAGTTATATTAGTAACGGTGTACATTGTTACGTTCAATGATGTCAATGATATACTAAAACTGTATATTAATTGAAGTCAGTATGTAATAGGAATGAACCTTTCATTGTTCGAAACTTACCTGTTTTATAGCAGAACATATTTCAGGATTCTTATAACGTTCTGGTAGCTCACCTCCTTCACCAGTGTTCGAACGTCCACCAAGTTTATTCATAGCCCTAGCTAAAGCAGTATGAGCTTCTGAAGAAATACTTCCCAAACTCATTGCACCTGTAAATGATAATTAAAATTTAGTGTGTATGTTGATTTCATATTAGTTTTGAATGGATGGGAAGCAGTCGATCGTATTTAAACTGAAGATGTGATTCTTTAAAAAGTAATCTTGAAGCTCAGTTGGTTAAAGATTAGGACTAAAGCTTATATAGTGTTCGTTCTATCCTGCTGCTATTTATTTAGAATTTAATCATTACTGATGTATGATATTGAAGCCTATGTAGAAAGGGAGACTGTATTGTTTCTCATAATAGAAATAATATTTAAGATACTTTTCTACTAAAGACATGATTCAAAAATCTTTCTATTAACAACGAAATAACGGCAAAATAAGTCACAGAAAGACACCACTAAACAGCGAACTTTGAAAGCATTCTATTAAACTGGAAATATACTGAGTAAGTAAGACGGTTCAGGGGGGAAATCTCTATCAACGACGTTGTTTACTAGATACTTACGACCGTATTTTTAGTTGTTGTACTCCCAATATTCTGTTATAAAGTAGAGATGCCGCGTTATTAACACGGTTATGAATAATGTGCTGAAAACTTCGAGTATTTCAAGTGTTTTACTTCAATGATATAGCTAGTGAGGTATTCTAACTTACTTTTGTGCATAAGCATCATCAGTCTCTATCTGAAATTTTTAAAATACTAACCTGTAGAAAAACGTTTTACTATTTCTGCAGCCGATTCCACTAATTCCAACGGTAAAGGCTTTTCCGAATAATTAAAATCTAGCTGTCCACGTAGAGTGCAGTGACGCGAACACTCATCGGCGACTTGGACAAACATTTTGTAAGCCTCATGGCTATTATTACGAGATGCAGCCTGAAGTTAAATATAATAATATAGATATTAGTTGATATAATCACTCTCTGATATAAATAACTGTGACTCATTTCTGTAAAGTTGTGCTGAAAACAGTAAATAAATTAACGTTAACACTGACAGGTAATTCTAGTTAATACAGTAAGGTTAAGATTGACACTATAATCAGAAACACTGTGTTTATCGTCATTGGTTCAATATCAAGTAGTTGTTCTTCACGTTAGTGCAGAAAGTAGCGATAATTAGTTAGTGATAATCTGGTTAGTTCTCATGAGTCGTATTCAGTTGGTAAACTTTCGTTTTGTATCCCTCGATGTAATAACCCAGAAATTTTGTATCAACCACTTCTTACCATAGTAAATAAACAACTAATCAGTACTCTACCCGCCTACCGTTATAAATTTAATAAATAATAAACGTTACAGTTCAGCAATGAACAGTTGTGCATGGAAAATAATAGCCTATACAATAGAGCCAGTTTTAAATGTGTTATCGAAGTCCCGCAGTTTTAAACAATTGGCAAGATAGGACTTCAAAAAAGATGTAAATATTAGTAAAGTAAACGAATAGAAAGGTTGTAATTATTTCAACGCTTAAGATCCGAAACAAGGTAGACAACACAAGCTAATAAAGTGCATTTATCATAATTGGTGTCAAATCCATCACCAAACTCACAATAAAAACCTTCACTGTATACCAGGTTATGGTATTCCGTATGCGTATCACAACAGAAAGCAGAATAAACTTCAGAATAAGTAAAACTCTATCAAGTGGGTATTTCTTAACCAGTTGACATAACAGACATAAAATAATCTAACTGATAATGAGTCATAACGTCTATTTACTACTCAAATTTCCACATTGACAAAAGCATAACCACTCTTTTGGACCAGAAAATATATTTATATTTAACATTTGGTGAAAATTAATCGTACTCTTTTATTGAGTAAATAGTTTCTCAAAACACTTAAGTAGACTTTGAACGTCAACTAGTTAATACGTTACCTATCGTTAGCATGTAGTATTCTCTGACTGAAATGAGCTATTTGGTTACTGTTTTGTGAGTCAAATACGCATCATCAATAGATTCAAAGAGTACGTAACCATGATTATTAAAATTTTCTATATTTAACTTACCTGAAGTTTCGCTATTGCCTCTGGGCTGTTCATATGATTTTCTCCACCAAATCTCCAGTGATAAAATCCAGGATTATTCCCAAACTGACCAAGATTTTCAAGTACTTTAGTGCAAAGTGTTTGACATTCTGGATAGGCTAGTTGGTGACGTGCGGTAACTTCTCTTGCTAATATTTCGAAATCTGCTCCGCCTACACGACTTACGGCGCCACAGAAACACATATCAATCACAGATTGTGCTAAACCAACAGCTTCAAAGATCTGAGCGCTCTTGTAGCTATGCAATGTTGAGATTCCCATTTTAGCCATAACCTACATAGAGATGAACGAAATTATTACCACATCATAACTATTAAGTTCAATAATCGACCAGGTTACCGCTATTATGACAATCACTATGGTATGTGACATTCAGTGGACAAAATGAGGTGGCTTAAATGGTTTATCCCAAACCCATAACTTAGGCGATACGATTAACATTATGAAAAGAGAGTGAATGAATAGTTGTACTAACTGTATGCGAATACACACAAATTATTAAGAGATAAAATAATGTTTGATCTGTCACACAAGTTAATCTGAAAAGGCTTGACAAATTTGACGCTTCCAAGCCTATTTGCATTGGAAGCTTCCATAAATTCTCATTTGATCCCTTTGGTTTTGGTTACATTTGCTTGAATTCTCTAATCAGAGTGAATCTGCGCACCTAATTATCAAAAGTTCAAACATGTACCATAATTTAATTAGATTATGGGGTATGAAAATAATAAAACGTAGTCAGATAACAAAAGTCATGATACGGAACTTTTTTTATACTTACTTTAAGTATCCCGCGTTCAACAGATGTTATGAAACTTGAATATAATTCTTCTTCATTCACAACTGTAGCTGATGTTAGAAGACCTTCGTAGTTTAAACGTGAGACAGATTCAAAAATTAAGTAAGGACATATTGCATCTGCACCAAAACCAATAAGGGTACAAAAATGATGAACTTCTCTGAAATAGAATAAATAATAATTAAAAATTATTATTAATTTTTTATCAGAATAGATTCTGTGGAGATTTTAGAAATTTCACTGGTTGAAATCATGAGTCAATTGAAGCTAGACCACCATGGGAAACATGGAAGCACTGGACGGCCGTCTCGTCCTAGTATGGGACTCCTCAGCAGTGCGAATCCACGATCCCGCACCCCGCGAGATTCGAACCCAGGACCTATCAGTCTCGAGCCAGGCGCTTAACCAACTAGACCACTGAGCCGGAACCCAACGGTGTTGATGTCTAACTTCAACCAATCCACGAAGTTGCGCCACCGTACACCATTGTCTTCAATGAGTTAATATCTCACAACAGACCTAGTTTTTTTGTCGATCTCTGGTCCTAGTAATGGTTTCACTATCTGTTTAATTAAACCTGAAGCTAATATTTATATTTTACATACGATGTTTCTTTTGTTCTCATAGATGAAGAGCAAGATTGATCTAGATAATTCATAAATATTTAATCAAATATCTTTGGTATGATTATCCTATAATGAAGTGCTTATTAGACAGATTGCAAAAATCAGACATTTTAACTAATATTATGTAATTGCACTAACATTTCTCTCACCCTATCTGACCCATATTTATTCTGATCATGGATCTTAAATTTCACTTCACATATGAGCTGATTCAAGTTAACATTTTATATGAATCATATCAGCACTAACAATTTGATTATATTTTGTTTGACAATCCCAAATTCACACGCCATTAACGATGCACTTTACCCTTAACCTAGCCATTTTTCAGATTATTAATTTGGATATATAATTGTAGAAACTGAAGAAAATTTATCGAAAAGAATATTCATCGTTCAAACACTAGTGTTGTAATAAGATGATTAAAATGATTAAAATGTTTTGTTACAATAATTAAAGGTCATCAAAGGTCATAGAGGTGTAAAAATAGATAAGGTGACACCTTTGTAGAAACCAAACTGGGACGTGTTCCCGTATCCGAGTTGAAAGCGAGTTGAGCTCAAACCAGAACTATGCGTACAAAAAAAGTACGTCTTATCGTTATCGATACCTTGGCCTTAATTGTTATTATTATTATTGTTATTATTATTACTAAATTCCCCTTTACTTATGTCTTTTATTCCCATAATCTTACTCATAAATGCTCATCATGTCACCTTATTTATTTTTACACCTCTATGACCTTTAATATTACGTGTATCATGCTCAACTTTTTTCTTTGTTGATGGAAGATAACTGATAAAATAATAGTTTTTAAGAGAATAATAAAATTAATAATGTTGTTAATAGCTATGTAGTTTAATGTACACAACAGTAATGCAATGACTAATTCATGAACTAGTAAAGTTTGATTAATACTAAAGGTTATTTTGGCGGCTGAGCCAACTTAAAAGGTGGAAGTGTTATTATTACACAATGAGTAAAAGATTCAGTTATTTTGAATCTGGTAAGTGAATGACTGTTTTGCTAAAGATTTGGGTTCTCCTAAAAATTACAGTTCATTTGAATGGCTGATAAAGTAAGTCCTTTTAAAACTAATCTTATTCGAGTTATAGTAATATCAATATATACATCACAGTGAAGTTTAGTCGATTTGTTTGTATGTCATGTAAAATTATCAAAGACATGAGTAGCAGTACTTCTAGATATACATTTGCACACGACAGTTCTGTGGCCTCAGTCACTCAAATATATTTTTTATCCTGTAAATTTGTACTGATTGAAAGTGTAGTATAAATTACGGAAATAATAATCGCAAATCAGTTCAAGTTTATCCATGTCAATCAAGTAGTATATGCTACTTGAATGGAATTTTTGGAAGGATTAAACTTACTTTGATTCACCCGTTTCCGCAATTATCCCAACCCTCATACGAAGCTCACGACGAACTAGACGTTGATGTACCGCCCCGACAGCCAACAGTATTGGAACAGGAAGACGATCTCGACTACTGGCCCTGTCGGAAATTATTAACAAATCCACACTATCATGTAAAACTGCGTTCTCGGCCTTATCACAGAGATCTTGTAGAAAGTGGAACAGTTTTGATCCCAATGAAACTTTTTCAGAACCTTCATGTACAGATAATGTAGCATCCAAAATAACACTACGCCATGAGAGAACAGTACTTGTTATTTTCACATCCTCAGGTTGCGATGGAGGATTGCCTCCTAGTGAACGTAATAAAGCCATATCCTTCAATGATAAAATCGGATTCGCAAGCCATAAACGATGAGTTTGTGCTCTGGATGGAATCAAAATATTTTTCTGTGGTCCGATAGGACACATCTAGAAATTAATGGAAAAGAGATGGATAGAACTAAACTGTACCTAAATAATCATAAATATGCTGAACTAAAAATTACTTTAAAGTATTCATTATTAATTTGTTATACCTCTCGCCTTACAAGAAAGGAGTTTTTTATACATAATTAAACTAAATGAAAATATTAGAAATCCAAAAGTTTTTGTAAACCACAACATTAACTAAGTTAGTAATCTTATGATACTTGAAGGTACCACTAAATACGCGTAGCCTAGAAGACAGTTACCGTCCCATAAGAAATGGGGTACACCAAAATCTGTTATCTAATTTGTAGTTTCTGTTAGGGAGACCCAGAAAATTCATCGGAAAAAAGCCAAAAAGGCCTTGAAAACGTTGAGAAACATCTTACCCAGTCAGTATTTAACAGAAGTTTGCAAGAAACATCTAGAAAGTGAAAGGCCACATGTCACATTTCTGATTGAATGATTACCTATACTGCTACGATGTTTTGTAACGTCTCAGAAATTTCCGAAAGCCCAAAGCCATCCGAAATACTATGAATACCCTAGGTTTTCTGTACATAAACGAACCTTGGATTAAGGCCTTTTTCCATATTTCCCGCTTTTTCTCTTATGTTCAACTAGCCGTGTAGATTTAGACTGGGGATTACTAGAAGAGCTTAGGAAACGGGATCTAAAATTCATTTAGAAGATTTACCAATTTCCCCTCAAGACCTTAATCCTCATCAATTTACTAACTCATATTAACTCAGCTCTCATCAGGGTTTATTTCTCGCCCTATTAATTTAAATTCATAATCTACTCTGTTACTGTATTTAGCAAAGGTGCTAATGCATTGATTGAATAGCTTTACCCAGTATCTTTTATATGACGGAATGAAAAGTCAAAATTAGATTGATTTACTCATTGTGATCTTTTGTTCAACATTACTTTCTCATTAATTCAATGTGATAATTACTTTGTGTAGTATTTATTTCGTTTTCCATTATGATATTTTATTCTGTATGACATACGATATTCTTGTATTCAATTGACACAAACTATGCACAGCATGACATTTAGCATGTGATTTAGTTATAACTGTGAGTATTTTCCATATATATGATTTCATCCTAATCATTAATTAAAATGGATGTACAAATTAATATATAAATGAGTGTATTTTCGAGTAGGGTCGTCGTGTTTCACGGTTACTAAATATTCACTTGTATCAGTCTTAGTTTCATGTCGTGTGAATTGCAGTGCCTCCTCGTTTTCGAATGATAAGCGATTCCGACATAATAATCAGCGAAGAACAGATATAACAATTAGCGTTCCATTAGAAGACTTATTAATCTTCCACTCAAATCCCGCCTTCTGTATGAATTCACTTATTAAATCCTTTTACACTTTTTTACTGAAAACTTCCAGTTATTCTCCCACTTATAGTTTTATTGAAAGGTAATATGCTTGTATGTATGCAGCATACATGTAAGTAGCTGCAGAAAAGAACAGAGTGTAAGTACATATTATTATAGTTGATTTCACTGTATGACTGGAATTCGCTTATATATGTAGTGTTTTCAGAATCTGAATCAAGTTGACCTCGATTCCGATTTGTGTGATAAAAGCACATTCCCATTGAGTTCCGGTTGGCCTTTTTTGGAAGACTGTCGATTTTGAGTTATTTAATTGCACAGGAATTCGTTTTTTTCCAAAATATTATACACTAAGAGGACATCTGAACGATTTAATATTCTATTTAGAAGAATACTTACCAATGTCATTACAATGCGTTCACGAAATGGATCGATAGGAGGATTTGTGACCTGAGCAAATAACTGCTGAAAATAGTCAAATACATGGGGATTTTGTTCAGATAAACAAGCCAGTGGAGCATCATTCCCCATAGATCCTAGAGCTTCTTTGCTGAAACAGAGTAACCATGTTTATATGCTTGAATAAATAAAATGGTTCGGAATTATTAGTTTCAGGAACGATACGATATTTTACAATTGAAGTTATTAATTTCACGGTTTATGAAATTCCAGTTACATAGTTTTATAAATAAGTTGATACTAATATTATAAATGTGTCTTTGTCCGTTGTCAGGTTTTGTTCTACAGCCAAAGGATTATATGCTTTAACTCAATAACAGTGATGTTGTACTCTCATATTTAGGGTTATTTTTGTCGATTGTCATAAAGCGAAAACCAAACAATGAGGTAAACTTATTATCTAACATTTTATTTACAAGTAAACATTTGTCAGACCAGAATCATAAAGCAAATTCAAAATGCTTTTCGTTCCGTTTATGAATTATCACGAATTACTAGCCTCCCCCCACACATTTTTTCAAGATCTAGATTTATTCGACATTTCATTTTGTGTTTACAAACTCTGGGAGCAACAGTGTACTGTTTGGTAGAGGCATAAAACGCAAAACAGAATTAAAGTTATCACTTAAAACTAAAAAAGGTCACGTTTTCCGCTTTGCTGTTCTGTTTCATATACTTAAAATCAAATTTGAAAAAATAATGCTGCCCATATGCGTTCGGTAAATCATTAAAAAACTGATCCATCAGTAGATATTAGTAACAAAAGCAAGTTTAAAAAACTGTTCATAATTGGTTTATTTGCTAAGTAAATGAAAAGCAGGATTGTAAATTCCGTTAAATCATTCTGAATTTTCGATTTTTTTTTCGTAAGTTATAATAGACAAAATGCTATGAATTGTGTTGATTGCGGTCGATCGCTTGAATTACTAATGTGGCAGGGTGATAGCTTCTCGTAAACCCTGTTTATTAAAGCGAAAAGCCCCCACTGAAGAGATGTCAGGAGACAGAATAGATTGTCAGTAAATATGTAGATTTATGAAGCAAAACAGTGTTCTCCATAATCACAAGCGATCACTCTCGATGCGTTCGGAGTAGAAACCAATAAGAAGAAAAGATATCATGCATCTAACAGTTGGTAAGCTGTATACCTGTTTGTTCAGACTCAGTAACAAATCACACTCACTTTCACTACTACACACGAAAACTCTAGTGTGTATCTTTGTGCAAATTAGGCTGAAACTGTTCAGCCTTTAGCATCATAGTCAATTTAGCTCATAAATGTAAAAAAACAACAACAGAGAAGGCGAACGAGTAAATTCGTAACATTCTATAATCATTAATCATGGATCAAGTTAGAAACGGAAAACCCTAAGAAATATTCAAATGAAGTTGATACATACATTGGCAAACTTTTCTATGTCAGTACATTTCATTATTTTCCTGATAATGCTATATTAAGAGTCGGAGATTGGAATGGAATAGGATTTATTTTAGAAGAAAAGATACATGAACATCGTTTTTTATAACAGCTTTGTGTTTTCCTCTACGGAAAAGTAACCGATTGAGTTTTTAATATCTGTTTTCACGTATATCATATAATGTAAATGAAACAAACATCACTAATAAAGAATAAGACTGAGGAAAACAATTTAACAGCCATCGATATTACATAGCTAACAAAGATTAATAGATAACCCCTAACTCTTCTGAATCATGTTTAATTCTATGAATAAAAGCTATATGTATAAGCTATGTATATTTTTTTAAAATACATAAATGAAAATAACCTGAATAAACTCACCCAGTTTTCAACATGGGCAAAATTAGAAGATTGATATTTTCTGGATTATACCCAAATAGTGGGAGGCGACGATCGTCAATGACTGAGGGCTCGAGTGTTGAGATTCTCTTATAGTGTTCAGGGGAATTCGCAAAAGCCCTATGCATTTCAGGCAAATCAAGAGCCTATAATCAAAAAACAAACATCAAGTGAAAAAACTTCATCATAATAATCCTTATAAATGATTTATGGTGAGTTTTGTTTGAGTGGTAAACATAAGTTTGAATGCAAGGGCTTTTGACAGAAGCCAGTATTGGCCAAACAACCAATGGTTGACAGAATAGGAATTAAAAAGTTCTTATAGACTACCAAATTTAATGTATCAATCAAATGCAAACTCATTTACTAAGTATCAGGACCACATCAATTATAGGAGGACTAGGAATTAAACTTGAAAAAGATTCCGACGACAATAGACTAATTGGAATTTCTTTTATTATCCATCTGCCACATCTTTGTACTTTATGAATTATAGGTTAATCAAATCATCCCTAATACCCATAAGAGTGAACCACCAATAAAATATCTCATGGACGAAATCCCAAGTCTCTTCATGCAAACATTTGTGATGTGACCTTAACCGAATTTCTGACGAAGTCCTTCCGTGAAAGAGTATATTTGGATTTATGAGTGTCATAAAAGCTTTTCAAAAGTTTCAGGATGTAAATACATCTTTTTTAATATATTGAGATGAAACACGCTTTAGCACAATGAATTATTCTATTAACATTACCAGACACAACTTAATATATCACTTTGAACATACATGATGTCTGAAATACCAATAAACGAAAGAATAAAATCCGTAAAGTGTGTTACTACTATTGTTAACGAAAAGTTTAAAATTAATTTCCAAAAAGCCTACTGTCTGTCATGTAAAAAGCATACACCAAATTGCTCAAATTTACTTCTGTTTTTCACTCAAATTCAAAACTTCCCAACTGACTTGATATGCTATGGTTTAATATTAAAGGTTATCTGGTTCTGTAAATTAAGTGGAGCAGTAGTTTGGGTGTTTAAACACATAAATTTAAACCCAAATTGAATTTGGAATCACTAGAATTCAAACAAGTTGTGGTTCAAAGCGAGGTAGGTGAAATGTCCTGTTTATAAGTATGCCACACAATTATTAACCTTGAACCGAATCAGTCAATGAACAAACACTCTAAAATATAAGTTTTAAAATACAATGTTTTATCGTAAATGAACACTGCTTACTCCTTCTTTGAGCCAAACATCATAAGGGTGTTTGGTAGCAATTTTGGATTTTAGTGATTCATCATCTAATAGCTGTCCACTTTCTGTATCGACAATCAATAAACGTCCAGCTTTTAGACGACCTTTTTGTATGATTTTCACATCAGGTTGTATATCGACTACACCAACTTCACTTGACATATACACCATATCATCACTGGTTGCATAAAAACGAGCTGGGCGAAGACCATTACGATCAAGTATTGCACCAATGTAACGTCCATCAGAAAATACAATCAGAGCTGGAAAAAAAATGTACTAGGATAAATGTTGACTTCATTGCGTATTACATAACCTAAACATTGAAATTCAATGGAGATGAACAATTTTGTTTGTACATAATTCATGAAGACATGGATAGTCTGTTGGGCTGTTAAAACGGTTCTATTTTTGACAAGAATGAAACTGTGAAAGTCAAAAGACAATAGATAATTTTAATTAAAAGAAACGATATAAACCAATCAGTAAAACGTAAATAAACACACATTTCATCAAGTTACTACAGAATAGAAACGGTTCTGTAATATCCCAGAGTTTTACTATACGACCTGATGGATGTTTGTCATCAAATGTGTGGAAGGCTTAAATCATAAATTGATATCCCTTCAAGTTTGATGGAACTCATATTTAGGATAAGGAAATAAAACTTTTAGCACAATTGTCAAATTCATACAAATGGTGAACATCGGCCTGAAGTAATGTAGTGAACGAGAACGCCAGTGGGGACAATCGAATGCATTTGAACATACACTTACAGAACATCTTAGTAAAATCTAAGAACAATACAGTAAATACTTCATTTGCAAAATGTCAATCAATCGTCTCAGACTTCATTGTTCTTTCATTTCCACATCAATCACTCTTTGTCCTCGTTCTCTTTTCTTTGATCTTCTTAACCTTCTGCTTCCAGGCACTTCACTTTCGAATGATGATACATACTACCTACAACTGTCGACATCAATAGCACATACCTCAGTACCACTAGAACAAACCACATGTAAAATTATTATTTTCATCATAGTCTTCAGAGTTCATCAAGTTCGTTATGTATTTCAATGAGAGTACCTTTAATTCAACTAACTGATGTAGATAGTTTAAATTTCAACCAGAATTCAAGTCTTCGTTCAATTGTTTGAATCACGTTCAGAAAGCCTCAAACCTTAAACACCATATATGTATTCACTTGACTACTTATTGAATTACTCAGTAGTACTAGTTAAATTGAAAAATTATCAGAATCAATTAAATTGTTTTGTTAAACCTTGGTTCAATATGTGAGTTATTTGTTTAATTCAAATCTCTTGATCAAATTTCCGTGTATACACATGTATACACATGCCAATATATATATTCCATGTTAGAACCTTTGAACGCATTACTTCCTAGAGAACGGAAGTATGTCTGAGCAAATAACAAGAGTTATGAATACCGAACTTCAATTAATGTTATTGACATTCAAAATTCCGCATGGATTTTTAGATAACGATATAAAGAAGGTCTTTTATAGGTTGATAAAACAAAACATGAATATAGTCACTCATGACTGCAAGTACAATTACCAAATCTACAAGTATAGTTAGGTAAATGATATTGATAAGCTTAAAAATAGGGCCTAATTGTTAGTACGTGCAGATCTAAACGAATAAATCATAGTGGAATCTGAAATTGGAGGTTATTTGTGTTATCGCCGTAACTTTTAACTTCTTAGAGGTTTCAACACTTATCATAAAAAACCCCAAAATAGAAACACTAGCCAGAATTTTCGGATCCTCTTTGAAATAAAGATTATAGGTAAAATATTCAATGAAGCCAATTACTTTAGTAATAACACCATTCAATTATGCATGATAGGGAAGTACTTCATCTCTTTAGTCGTAACTAGTTAAATATGCCACCAAAGCATTTTTAAAGGTATAACACTTAATTAAAATAGTGACGGTATATATTGAAACAGAAAACGAATGGAATACATGCCTAACAGACAATACTCTCAGACTATTGGAGCTATAAAGCAGTGATATATCGATATTTCAGTGGTAAAACATGTCATTTTAAAAGAGTTGATAATATACTGGCTCAAGAAAACTTTAACTGTAAGATATAATTATCACAAGTTATATCAGATACTGATTTTACAATTAGTATCTGCTTAATAACTATGTAAACAGACTTTAAGAGATATAAAAGCCATAAGTGTTTGGAACCCAATGTGAATTGTTTGAAAAGAATAGGTGGTAGGCAGAGTTTCGTTAGCGAGATCTATTGTTTCTAAACACAGTTGCTGAGCTGTTACGATTAAAGTCCAGAATACTGACTGGTTTCTACCACCATCATTCAGACTAATAGAAATCGAAGGCAAGTACATATGAATGACAGTTGTTATGAATTAGAATAGTTTATGATCTACGATATTTGTATATAGCAATACCGCAAATCGATCCCTTAAAAATCACTGAAAAATCTATCGTTTTTGTGACTTGAGGTTTGGTGTTAATTGCACACATGTTCAGTCAAATTAGAAGGAAAATTAGTTTTTGTGGATTCACTTCGGAAGATAAAAAAGGCCAACAACTAATACGAAATCACTAAAATAAAGATTCGTATGGGACCTCATGAGATTGTGCATTTTGCTGTAAATGTTTTGTAGATTCAGAAATGATCTATTATGCTAAATTTTAGTAAATAACTCATATTTTGAGTAGTTCTTAGTTTTAATAGCTATATTTCCGAACATTTTGGTTTTAACAACATAGATAATGACTGTTTTAAACCAAATGTTCGCACTCCTGTTTGCAAACACCATCGCTTCATTGCCAAACGATATAATCCTCATTGACTTTTCCTATTTACTGGCATTTAAAAACCGAAGTCCAGTCATTTGACAAATAAATAAGTGGTAAGTTAATGTGCGGAATCCTGGAAACAGAAAAAGGTAATTGTGTAATCACTTATTTAATAGTTTCCAAACTTCAATTAGTTTGAAGAAAGGTTATATCACATACCACACGAGTAAAATTATAAAATCACATTCAAATGAATTTAGTCCTTTTGCTCAAATGAAAACTCCGCCTGGAGTCCCTCCGGGGGCTACTGCCGGTTCCAAGCCCAGATAAAGGAGGAGGGTTGGGCATGGGGTTCGCGTCCCCGTCCCGTAGAAAACCAACTCGCTAAAAAACGCTAACCAGAAAAAATTATTCAAACCTTTTAAACTCTGTCTTGGGAGTCAGAAAGTCTTCATTTAGAAGAACTATGACGCCTCATGATAAAAGCCGAATTCCTTCGGAAGTTACGAGGCTGATGCCCCTTCTGACAACCAGAGTGACCATTTATTTAGGTACATGGAATGTTCGTACAATGTGGGACACCGAGAGAGCCCTCCAAATTGCTGCAGAAATGAGGAGATACAACCTAAAGGTGCTTGGGATCAGTGAAACACATTGGACGCAAGTTGGACAACAACGACTAACTTCAGGAGAGCTTCTGTTATACTCCGGCCATGAAGAAGAAAATGCTCCACATACACAAGGAGTTGCACTGATGCTGTCCAAACAAGCACAAAATGCACTTACAGGATGGGAATCTCATGGACCAAAGATCATCAAAGCCTCATTCAAAACAAAGAAAGAGGGCATTTCAATGAACATCATCCAATGCTATGCGCCTACCAACGACTACAATGAAGACGTTAAAGATCAATTCTACGATAGGCTGCAGTCAATCGTCGAGAAGTGCCCAACAAAGAACCTGACCATTCTGATGGGAGATTTCAATGCCAAGGTTGGAACGGACAACACTGGATATGAAGACATCATGGGACGACACGGGCTGGGAGAAAGGAACGAAAATGGTGAGAGATTCGCAAACTTATGTGCTTTCAACAAACTGGTCATTGGCGGCACCATATTCCCACAAATACGCATACACAAAGCCACATGGACTTCACCGGATCACACCACGCAAAACCAAATCGACCATATTCGCATCAAAAAAACGTTCAGGAGGACGATGGAAGACGTGAGAACCAAGAGAGGAGCTGATATAGCCTCAGATCATCACTTGCTGGTCGCCAAGAGGAAATTGAAACTCAAGAAACACTGGACAACGGGGCAGACAATATCACAAAAGTTCAGTACGGCCTTTCTTCAGGATACTAACAAACTCAACAAATTCAAGATAGTCCTCAGCAATAAGTTCCAGGCCTTTCATGATCTACTGAATGGAGTAGGAACTACTATGGAGAGCAACTGGAAGAGGATCAAAGAGGCAATCATTTCAACATGTCATGAGATCCTGGGTCACAAGAAGCACCATCACGAGGAATGGATCACTGTTGATACACTGGATAAGATTCAAGAAAGGAGGAACAAGAAAGAAGCAATCAATACCAGCCGAACAAGAGCAGAAAAAGCCAAGGCTTAAGCTGAATACACAGAAGTAAACAAACAAGTGAAGAGGAGCATCAAAACAGACAAACGTAAATATGTGGAAGGTTTAGCAACGACGGCGGGAAAGGCTGAAAGAGAAGGAAACATGAGACAACTGTATGACACGACAAGGAAACTCTGGAAATCGCCGCAAGCCAGAACGACCAGTGAAAAGCAAGGAAGGCGAAATAATCACCAACATTGAAGAGCAACGAAACAGGTGGGTAGAACACTTCAAAGAACTCTTGAATCGACCAGTCCCACTGAACACCCCCAACATCGAAGCAGCACCCACAGACCTCCCAATCAACGTTGGCTAACCAACAATTGAAGAAATCAGCATGGCCATCAGACAAATCAAGAGTGGCAAAGCAGCAGGACCAGACAACATTCCAGCAGAGGCACTATAATCAGATGTAGTGGCAACTGCAAGGATACTTCACATTCTCTTCAATAAGATTTGGAATGAGGAACAAGTACCAACAGACTGGAAAGAAGAACTCCTGATCAAAATACCAAATAAAGGCGATCTCAGCAACTGTGATAACTACAGGGGCATCACTCTTCTCTCAATACCAGGAAAAGTCTTCAACAGGGTAATGTTAAACAGGATGAAGGACTGCGTAGACGCCCAAATTCGTGACCAACAGACAGGATTCCGTAAGAATAGATCGTGTACAGACCAAACCGCAACTCTACGGATCATTGTGTAACAATCAATTGAATGGAATTCATCACTCTTCATCAACTTCATTGACTACGAAAAGGCATTTGACAGCGTGGACAGGATAACACTATGGAAGCTTCTCTGACACTAC